CCCAAAAATTGTATGTTAATAGTTGCATTATTTGTTTTATAAATTTTATAAATAGAAGGGGACGACCATGCCATATTATCTGTGACAGAGGCACAGAGAAAGTTTTGAAGAAAGAGCTAGAAAATATTGATAGTTGATCGCCAATTCCTTTATTAATCCTGAACTAACCTTCCATTTCAACTCACCTTTGTCGCCTCATATGGGTGGTGCGTGGGAACGACTTGTAAAAGCAATCAAAATTTCATTTTATTTGTTTTGTAAACATAATGAAAAGTGAATATGAAGTGAATCAATCAAATTCCTAAAAATTAAATATAGGTACCTTTGGTTAGATATGGGTAGTGACCAGGTATCGGTAGTTATTTACTAAAAAACATTGGAATATAAAAAAAAATATATTTGCAAGCTTCCAAGAAGTTAAAAGGAACCAAAACTGGATAAAAGGCGAATCGTAAGATTAATATCTTTATTATTTTTTAAAACATGATCTATTTGATTTATTTTAGGAATTTGAGTGATTCTGGAATTAACTACCAAAAAAAGAATTGAAATAAAGGAATTCAGAACACTTCAAGTAGATTAAAATTATCCTATTTGAAAATATTAATTTAGTTTCCCTACACCTCTCTTTCTAGTGAAAAACACTAAAGTGGTTTTGATGGGTTTATCTCCAGTCACTCTGTTTGGCACAATTCCTACGTTGCTTTGAGTTCACTTTGTATGAATTCACACAGGGTGCCCTCGAACGTTCCTCTTGCTATGATGACATTGTCATCGGCATACCCAACGCAGTGCAAGCCCCGGTTATTCAGTATTCCTAGTAGTTCACCCACCACTAAGCTCCACATCAGGAGTGAGCATACGCCGCCCTAGGGAGTGCCTCGAGTAGTGCTCACCTCAATAGACTCATTGCCTACTGAAGTCTCTGCTGTCCTCGTAGCCAGAAATCTACTTTTACATTCCAAATACTAATCAAAATTGAAAGTAATGGAATGAAAAGGGGGCCTTATTTTTAATCAAGTTAAACAAATCTTGTCCATTTCTCACTAAATTAATTATCTCTCTCGTAGTTGGAAATTGGCTAATTATTTCCAAGTCAAAAAATAACTTCAGCCTACATCATTTTCAGCTGGATGCTGGGTGAAAATTACGAATTCCAGCTTATCAGTATTACCAAAAAAGCGTGTACCAAATGGCCTCGGTAATTCGTGGTAATTTATTCATTTCATCCGCACTAGTGTGCAACTAGGGTGAATACAGGACGATTTGCGTTAATTAAATCCGATTTTGTTGAATTTATTCCTGCGTGCGTTTGTTAGGTGGCGAATTGGCAATAATATTAAATGTTTGTGCAACAAATTCGATAAAATAATGGAAGCGTTTATTTATGTAAATGGCACAATAAAGTTTTCATCAAAAGCTAATGGACATCGTATGGTATTGAAGTGCAATTGCTTGTCATAGTAATAAAACTGTCAAGATAATAGATAATGATAGTTACAATATTGTATGATCATCGATTTTCCATCTTAATAATAAAGATATAGTGGTCTTTCACCAATTTTATGAGCTCGGTTAGCTTATCCAGGGTTAAGCATAAAAGGGTTTGTACATTAAATTTTAATCCTTGTTGCCAGATTTTTAACAATAATTAACGTTGTAGAATATTGTCAACCGATATTATTACATCGAAATTTCAAATGATTGTTTATAATGTGTGACAATTTCCGATGTGCATGAGAGGCCCTTCACTGTGAATCATTGGTCATTGGTCTATTGTGGCTTATGCCTATTTATATTTCTCCAATCATGTTGTATTTTTCCAAGGAAGTCTAGGATAGTAGTTGGAGAGATGTTGTTCAGGTCTCCCAGTGGAACCGTCGCCCCACCTAAGATACGATGCCTCAGTCTGCCACCTGCCGAACATTCGCAAAGAATGTGTGCAGCTGTCTCCTCGTCCTTCATGCATAATCTGCACTCGCCATTATCTGCCAGTCAAGCCCTGTGCATGTGGTGTTTCAGCCTACAGTGTCCAGTGTATAAGCCGATTAGGGTTTTCAGCTTATAGCGTTCTTTCACCGGTTGTCTTATGATTGCCTTTGCTTGTGTGTCATCTCTGGCAGGTTTAGCCAATGTTCATAGGCTTTGTTGTCCGCCCAGGTTTTAATGACGAGTTCTGGCTCTGGCCCTGTGAAGTTGGTTTCGGCTCCCGCTCTAACAAGGAGACCGACCCTCAAGGCCAGAGTGTCCCGGTATCCACATTGAGGTTACCTTGTTTTTCTTCCCTAATTTGCTTAGAGCTTCCTGACAGCTCCAGACTGTAGTTGGTGCTAGGTGTCTTGAAAGCGGCTTGGCTGTCAGAACATAGTTTTATGGTTTTGTGAGTTTGGGTCGATTCCTCAGTCTCCTCACACCCATTTCAGTGGCATGTACTTCCGCTTGAGAGACTGATGGATAACCTAGTTCTCGGTTTTGCACCCTTAACACCCGCTCCCACCTTACTGTGTGTCTTTGATCCATCATCCATTCGTGAAAAGACATAGATCTACTTTTAGTATGGCATACTCATTCTGCACCCATTCTTCCCTTCTTGGAAAGGCTACTGTGTAGGGTAGGGTGCTTGTTGTATGTGCTGTTGGCAAAAGATTCGTAGGAATTCCCAAACCGATGTGTGTTTTGATAAACTCCAGCAGTTTGTTGCCTTCCACGATTCCTTTGTCATCCACTTGATTTCTGTTCGTGTAGTACCCATATTCTGTAAGTTGTTTTCAGAGTCTCCATTTCCAGATGAATATATAAAGGGGGAATTCCTAGGAGAAGCTCCATGGCTGCTGTTGGCGTAATGCTGAAGTTCCTGTTATGTTAATGCCAAAAAGGTCTGTCTTTGTAGTTCGTCGAGCTTGGGTTGGGCGGTGCGCTGTAGCCCCTTCTCCCACCAGGCTATGTTATCATTGGTCTGATGACCATGATATATAACCAGTATATTTTCTTGGGCCCAATTACCCATGGATTGAATCGATCTTCCTTTGTATACGGACGTATCTGATCAGGCTCCACTATTTTTGCCTTTAAGTGGATGAAGTGAACGGATCGTGTTGTTTTTGGTGTCGAAAGATGTGAGAAGTTTCCTAATTCTAATTTCCGGAACGATTCAGGAAATCTCAATCCTGTAAGTCAGAATACACATCATCTAAATATACCAGACAAGTTCTCCATGTAAGGCCTCGAAAAACTAGATGCGTCAGTCGCTCAAACGTAGCGGGAGCATTACACAATCCAAAAGGCATTACGTTAAACTGATATAACTCGCTTCCGGTACTAAAGGCAGTTTTCTCTTTGTCATCTTTGTGTATTGCCACTTGCCAGTATCCACTCTTGAGATCCAAAGTGGAAAACCATATGGAGCCCGATAGAGTTGTTTATGTATCGTCTATCCTGGTGACGTTATTAGGCTTACGGTAATCCACACAAAATCTAAGACTTCCATCTTTCTTTGTAACCAATACTACTGACGCAGACCATGGACTATTTGACTCTTCAATATTTCCCTCTTGAAGCATTCTATCAATTTGGTTTTTCAATTCCGGTTGTTTAGCTACTGGCATACGTCGTGGTGGTTGTCCAATTGGGTGTGCCAATCCAGTATAAATTTTGTGTTGAATCAAACTGGTCCGACATGTTTGATTATCCATCACAAATACGTCTGCTTCTTTCAAGATAAAATCTACGGCTTCTTGAAGTCTATCTGGATCGAGGTGTTTCCATGATTTCTCCAAAGTCTGCATCAAGAACAACTTAACTCCATATAACTTTCACAATAATCACTATCTAAAACGTATCACAGCCAATTTTAAACTAAAAACTATCAACCAATACCGGCCTTTTATATCTGTAATCCATTCTTATGAAATCCAGAATAAACGCGATTATCCCTTTTCGTGAAAGCGCACCGTCACAATACTTTTGAATGCTATAATATTGTTGTAAACATTTTTTGGTGATAGATCACTTTAGGTCCCTTTGATTTTCAATATGATTTTGATTATTACTGATAAACAAAGCAATTTTAAGATGGTTAGCGAGAAAAAAAATATGGATCCTTGAATATTTATCAAGTTATGATTTTTTTAATTTAATTTTTTTCTTTGTTGATTGTGCATCTTTGATAGGTATAGCGATATTAAACTGATAAGAATAGATATTATTTATTGATCTGTGTCAAAGGTTGAGAAGCGAGAGGATATAAGGCATTAGTGACTAGTGATTTTTTACAATTATTATTATTTTGTTCATTTATTTTGTTTACTTTAATAGATTTCGATTTTATGGCAAAATCAGCATACCACCTTGGTAAATATTTACAATATTTAATGTTTATGGAAAGGGTTTTTTTGAGGTTTTTGACTGATTTTATTGATTTTTTACTGGTTTTTTAGTGACATTTTGAAAGCTCCTATCTAATTTGTGATTAGTTTCCTTAATTAACTTAGTAGTTGTCTATTAATTACCTGACGGTGCAATCTTTGCATTGAAGTAAATGGTTAACATTTTGAACAATTATTGTAAACCATAATTTATTTGTTAATAAATAAGCAAAATTAATAAGTAAACACTGATTTAATTATTGCGAAGAATAAAAGTACCAAACAATTTTTTTGCTCTACAGCCCAAACGGCTCATTTGCGGACATATGTTTATATGAACAAAAATGCTTGTTTCTTGTTTTGATGTCCCTTACTACCCTTTAAAGTTTGTCGGTATTTTTTTACGACACCCTGTACATTTAAATAACATATTGTTTATCAAAAAAAACGAACTCATCCATATTTTTTTTTCTTCATTATGTCCTAATAATTGCTCCAATGCAAATTTGAACATAGAAAAATTGTCCGTTTTTAGAGACCTAATGTGTTCTAGACCCCATTTTTTTCCAACAAATCATGATTTTCATTTTGCTGTTCCTTCACCGTTTTCAAAAATCACTTTTAATTCTTTTTCAGATCGTATTTGTTCTTGGGGAGAGAAAAAGACGATTCTCCCGTAGGAGTAGTGACCGGTAGCCTGAGCGTGACCCAGAGAACGATCGTCATCGAATGGCAACAAGAGTGGGACCAGCGTATGCGCAGATTCCGTCGCAGATCCCGGAAATGCAAGTAAACATTTTAAAAGGCAAAACGGTTTATTTCGTAAAGTTGCGCACGCGCGCTAACGGTTTCACTGTGATTTAATTTATATTTTAGTTTGTTTTTTTTTTTTGGCTAGTCGGGATTAGCTAGGAGTAGCACACAGTAACAAATAATGCCATTGATTGAAAATACTGCCCCTAGTTAGTTTTCACGAGCTTTTATATTTTGTACTCAGTATTGAAGAAAAAAATCTATTATTGAGGCCCTTGTTACTTACCATTATTTTGCACTGTACCAAATAATGCATTTTATTGTCGCGCCGATTTAGCTTTTAAATAAATTTTGTAATTTTATATATTTTGTAAATATATTTTACGATACGCCACAACAGCTGAAGTTTATATAGAAATTTTGTATTATTTATTTATTTTTTTTGTTCATTTTTTTTTATTATTCTTTAAGCGCTATTATTAGTATGATTGAGGAGTGAGTGAAAGAATCTTTAGAAATATAATCAATACTAATTTTCTGTATTTATTATTCTTTGTATGTCTTTTCAACCTACTTACGTATTTATTTAAACAAAAATTTTATTCAATTATTGTGTGAATGCGAATGGTATTTTTTTGAATTAAAAAAAAATGATATCCGAGACTGTACAGTATTAAAAATAATTTGCTAACAAAAAAATATTCCAATAATAATCTGTTACAATTTTAATTAAAATTAAATTGTATACATTTGTGTAACATTTAACTAGTTCCTAGAGGCTATAATTATTAATCTAAATGTTATCATTAGCTATATCTCCCGGAATTTTTGTTTGGAATGGTAGTAGAGGACAAAAATAAGGTTTTCCAAATAAGTATCCAAAAAAAGTGGCCAATTTTTGTATAATTTTTGTCTCTTCTGCCATTTCAAACAAAAGAAAACACAAATTAACCGACTATAGATATTAGTGTTTGGTGTTAACATATCAGACTATTTAACGTGTTGTAGCAATATCATGCTCTCTTTCTTATATCCACAATCTTTGGAAGACTATACTATAGACTTAGATATTTACTACCTTAATCTTAAAACTAAATTACTCTAATTTTTTCTAGAAATTTTGTAAATTGTTTTTTTCTACTTCAACAATAAACCAAATTCTGAATAAATACTTGAGAATACAATCTTCTGCATGATGCTCTCAAAAAAAAAATATAACAAAATATTTTAAACATTTTTCATGTTACAAGAGTTAAAAAAAAAGAAAAAACTTTAGTCACAATTATTAATATTAATATTATATTGTCAACATATTAATTGTAAATTCTTTGTGTACCTAATAAAATATTGTGTAATAAAAATAAATAATGTAAATTCATTTGTTGTTTATTCTTTATAAGCTATTTGATCTTTACTAAGATTTTATAAGTTTCTAAACATGTTCATAAAGAAAATATTTGACAAAGTTGTGCTCAGATTTAATATTCAGAACCTCCATTAAGTTTGACAATTCTATAAATATGCTTTATTGTCTAAGAGTACAAAAATCTTATCGACACAGCTAACTTACACCAACTTACATTTAACAACTAAACCTAGAACCCAGCAAGTCAACAATATCTATCAAAACTGAAGTAATAATTAACAAAAATAATAAAACATACTCATTCAGCACAAGACTAGGATTCTTCAAGCTAAACAACATTTCTTGACATAGGTTTCAAAGACTAGAGGACACAACAACAACAAAAATCTTAAATTCAGTATGTCAGTCAAATTAAAATACATAAAGGTAAAATTTAAAAAAATACAAAAATACACAATACGCAATAAAAAATAATGGGCATATAAAAAAATATAATTTGCACCAAAGTAGAATGGGTGATCGGAAGAGGAATGTCATGCCTTTGGTGAGTCAAACAAGCTGCCTGATGAACAGAATAGAATAGAATAGAATTTTTATTTACGGACATGCCATTTTACAATAAATAAATAAACAATAGTAACATACTATATAAGAGTTGCTTAAACCTAAATTCTCACATGTAGGTACCTATATTATTATCAAAAGATAAATTTAACCGCATGTGCGACATGACATAACAAACAGACTTTTTGCTTTGCAGCCTGCCAAATAGAATCTATGGAAAAAGATTTAACACATTCAAAACATTTAAAACCATTTGGAAACTTTAACAATTATAGGTAAAACTTTTGCAACACATATGTGGTAACTTCTTACGGCTAGTATTAGATAAAATAAAATAAAAATAAATATAAATATAAAATATAAACATATAAAACTCTGTACAGGATAAAAAGCACTATGACTAGATGGATTTGATTCTGTTTTTAAAGCTATGCAGACTAATGTTAAAAATATCTATATTAAGCCTATTTATCACAGAGTTTGCCAGTCTAGAGAATCTTGTTAAAAGAGAATCGTAATCATAGTTAGTACGAATAGTACGGTGATTTTTAATAGAAAATAACCTATTGCTCCTAATATTACTGTGAGGAATGTTTAAACCTGTTAACGTTGTTAATGTTGTTAATTATTTTATATAAAATACACAAGTCCTGCTGGTCCCTCTTCTTTTCTGTAATGTCTGCATATTTATAAGAGTTCATTAAAATCAATAGAATCATACTTTATACTCAATTTGTAAACAATAAATCTTAAAATTCTCCTTTGTATTTTCTCTAATTGATATTTATGTTTGTCATAGCAAAGTTTGGTTATGGTTATGGTAGGGTGACCAAAAAGGGCTAGCATACTCCAGCACTTGCCTGACAATAGATGAATAGGCATTTCTTAAAGTAAATAGGTATATTATTAAAATCCTTCAAACTACGTAATGAAAATCCTAACAACCTCATAGCTCTGTTGGAAATTCTTTCAATAGTACTTCATGACATTTAATTTAACATCCAAGTAGACAACTAAATCCCTCATGACATAAACTCTCTCCAGATCAATTCCCTTAATTGAATAATCAAAAATAAAAGGACTGAAAGGACATAATTTTGCATTTGTCTAAATTAAGGTCTAAATGATTCCTTCCACACCACAAATAAAATTGATTAACTTCATTTTGAAGAATCTCACAGTCATTGATATTTTAAACAAGAAATACTTTTTGTCTTCGGCTTAATTTAGAAATTTGCAACTTGTGAAAACCTTCTTAAAATCATTCATGAAGAGGTTAAATAGAAGTGGAGTTCGCCTTGGAAAACCCCAGAAGGTATATCAATCTTAGTTGAAATAATTTTTACTTTTTGCTTTCTTCCTAAAAGCTGATCAACAATCTAATCCAAGAAACTACCGTGAAAACCTATGCATTGCAGTTCATTTTTTAGAATCCTATGGTCAACTCTGTCAAATACCTTGGAGAAGTCTGTATAGACCACATCCACCTGATACCCCTCCTCCAAATCGCCAAATAGAGTCTGTTCAAATTCCAACAAATTTGAAGTCGTGGATTTCTCTTTTCTGGAACCATGTTGTTCAGGAATTATTACATTTTTAAATAATTATGTTATTTTGTCCGTTATTATCGCTTCTAGTATCTTGGAGAAAATAGAAATTCTAGAAACAGGCCTGTGGTTCTCAATTAGGAATTCATCTCCGTAACATGTTCCATCTCTTCTTATTTTCATTATAAGTCGTATTTTTTCCATTTCAGAATCAGCAAAATAATCGAAAATATCCACTAAGTTCAAAATAATACAAGTGCTGCCATCTATCCATCATCTGCGTAAAATGCAGATATCTTTTATTCATTTACCAGTACTGCCATCTAGTACCTGATGGATTTATTTTTCAAAGTATGATTTTAATTATTTCGCATTTGACAGTCATTTTTATCTATTCTTTTTTATTCCACGCGGTTTTTCATTGTGTTTTCATTTTGAAGTGAATATGATCTTCTGGGTGTACTCGTCTGATTGGTTGAACTGGTTAAAATGCAGTTAAGTATAACAAACACAGAATCGTTTTCCTGTGGGCTTTGGTTTCTAAAACGATATTTTTTTCCTAAACAGGAGTCTGGCAGGCAAGTCCTTTTTATTTTTAGTAATTTTTGCTCTTAATTTTTGGATTCTCCCTTATAGATTTAATATATATATATATATATATATATATATATATATATATATATATATATATATGTATAAAATATATTGATTTTGCTATCATTGCATATTATCATATCATTATTAAGTTTTTTACCTGATAATTCTTATCTTATCTGTTCTTGAAATATAAATATTATATTTTAATTTTTTTTATCTAATTATTGGCTTCCATTTTGTGTGAGTGTCGATTGGTAGTGCCACGTTTTCCTGAGGTAAGTCAATTCAGACTTCTGAACTTAAATAGGTACTGCTGCTCTGGTTTTCAGAATCAATTGATAGTGTGGGAATATTGGACCATTTGCTCTAAATAGAGTCGGTGAAAACCAAATTTGTGTGTCCATCCCTATCAACTGTTTATTGAATCCAGGCAGAGGCCTGAATAGCCATTTTCTGTTTGACTTCGTCAATTATTATCTCGAATAAAAGGTGTAATATTTTTTGATAGAAATCCAGACAGGTCAAAAATTCAGTTAAAACGTTTTAATTAAAACGTTTCAAGAATTTTGACATATTCTGGATTTGATTAATTTCAAACACAGGTTTATCTTGTAGTATATATAGTAGCTACCTTAATTTGAAAGGAAAATTTTGCATATTTGGGGGAGAATTCAAAGATTTAATTTCTTATTGCTTTACCTACCTTATTTTGTTCATATTTTTGCCTGGCAGAGCTACTGTCAGGAAAGCAGCATTTCGCTCAATCATAACGAGCAATTTAATCTTGTTGTTATTATTTTAATTTTATTATTATCTTACCATTATTCTTAATTATTTAATTCAATTTTTTTTTATATTGAGATAAAATTTTTTTCTTCAACTTGCCATAGCTGTTCATACCTGATTCTGTTGGAAGGGAGTGTCTGTACACAATCGTTTTATATTAAATTTCAATTTCAATTTCCTTTGCAAGACACTCACTTTTTGACAGAATTCAGGGATTTAGTATTTCAAATATTGGTGAACCTGATAATGGCTTTATTCTTTTCTGGGTACCTACATGACATAAAGATCACTGTTTGGAGTCTGGATCAGCTGGAGTGACGTCACCCCAGCATTCTATCCTCTTCCTGGATACAGGAAACAACACACGGAGAGCTCCGGATTGGAAAGGTGCATGGTGTCAGATTAACCGGAAAAACCAAGCTGTCAACACTAAAATTTTACAGAAAGTAACATTTACTGTTACTCTATGTTACATATAACATTGTTAAATATCAAATAAAATTATTGTTTGTTGGATTTTGAGTGGTTTCATTTGCACATAAAGGGACTACACGTTATCTTAATTTTTTGAATTCCACGACCCTAGGTTATCTTGCCTTAAAGTAACAAATGTCAAATTTAATTTGCAACATTTTGAAAATTGGAGTCACAAAACTGGTCTTCCATGCTTTTGGAAAAATACCCCTGCTCAATGATCTATTATAAATTTGACATAATAGATAGGAAAATATACATATGCCTTTCTTCATGATTAAGACAGGAATGCCATCCGGTCCACTACCTAGATTGTCTTTTAAATGAAAAATCTTATAAACATCAATGACATCAATAGTTACACATCTCAAGTTAACAGACAACAAATCACATGAGATATTTGCATCTGATTTGTCGTGTTTTTTGTATACAGAATAAAAGTGTTTTTCAAAGTGCTCAGCAATGTCTTCAGGAGAATCTGCATTCTCATCTTTCAGTCATTAAACTGGGAAAACTATTTGTATTTTGCTTTGACCTAATGTAACTCCAAATAAGCCAATTCGTTCCTGCACCCTATACTATCTAGGTAATTTTGATGACTGAAGCATATTCCTTACATTTCACCCTTAATTGAGAAAACTTAAGGTAAACCTCTAAAGAAGATGTTATCTTAAATTTTTTGTGTGCAGCTTTTTTTATTAAAATCAATTCTTCCAAGGTAACATCCATCCATTTTGGAAACTTGGGCTTCTTATGCCGATTCACTGGGGTTGATACTTTGATAGCATCATAAAGGTTGTCATAAAATACTTCAATTAAGTGATCCAAGTCTTCAATCAATAAAATATTACCCCAATTAACCATCGATAATGACAATTATCGAGATCTCTAAAGTTACACAATTTGAAATTATAATAGAAGAAATCAGCTGACAAGTGATCTATTGATTTGTCAATGTCCCTCACAAACTTTAATGCAGGGTGCGGTTCATCTAATTTCAGGAGGGGATTATGGAACAATTGACAAATTCCTCCTGTTGCTAAAGATTGAGTCCAAGTAATTTTTAAATTGATTTGAGATTTGGTTGACTTGGTTTAGAATAAAAAATGCCATACAATCTGCCAGACATCTGGTTTGGTCTGTGATTAACCCAGTTGGCCTGCAACCATCATCGTCATTTACCCACAGTACATTTGGTCTGTTGAAATAACCACACAAAAAGACATCAGTATTATCACAGGAATAACTAAGAATAACTTGTACAACAGAAGATGTTTATTTCTCGTAGACTTATTCACATGGTCAGGAGGAATATAAACATTACCAAACAATAAACGTTTTTTATCCATTGACACCATTACAAAAAGCTGTTCAAGGGATTCCACATCAGTGGATAGTAATTTGCATTTTACTTTATTGGTAACTGCAATAATTCCACCACCCTGAGATTTATGAATGCTTGTTTCTGAAGACAGATCACATCTAAAGATGATATACTATTATCCTGTAATCCTGTACTCATTGATGTCAATAGTTTCATCGAGAAATGCTTCTGTCTGCAGTACGATATCATAGTTATCAACAAACAGATTACACATAGTCCAGGAGGCAGTGAAATTTTTTAGCACTTATTTTCCTAGTTGGTGCATATTAAATAGTTTGTTTTCTTAGTCACACAACACAATAATTTTCTAATCTGGCTGAAATTTTTGGATGGGTTTACAAGATGAATTGAAAATACAAGTGCACTTATATTCCTAGTCATAAATATTCCACATTTACTAAAATAGAACATAAAGTATATGAGAATAGCAGTCTGGCTTATCTTAAGTCACGGAATGTGAGTCTGGCTGAAAATTTTCGAATTCAAAAATTTTACCGATTTTGCGGATCGGTTACCCTTATTTTTCCAAGCTTGAAATTTAGCATATAAATTTATACTATCATCAACTGTAATTAAAATTAAGTCTGGCTGATTCACGGAATTGGCAAATGAGTCTGGCGGCATGTTCAAAATCGGGAAAATAGAAAATTTTTGCCCTTATTTTCCCAAGTTTGAAAATTTGTAGTTTTACAGAGAATACACGTCTGGCTGTCACTTACAATCACGAACTGTCAGTTCGACCAGTATTTGATGATATGAATATTATGATGATAGTGATATTATGATGATAGTGATAGCGATGACGAAGGAGAAATTGATAAAGAAGATGATTAATTTTAGTTATATTTTCTATTCGTCATTTAAATATTGATTATTATGTTTGATTCAATATAGTTATATGTTTTTCCTTAACCAGATTTTGGTAGATACGTAGGTACATTACTCAAAATACCATGCAAAATAGAGTCTTTTTGCATTTTTATTGAAATTAATGAATTCGTTCAATAGTTATCTACAATCCAAGCATTTCGCGGACTGGATATAAAAATAACTAATTTTTTTTACTACTAACCTGAGAAGTAGTCATTATTCAATCTATTTTTCTCGGAAAAAATTGAATTTCTCTCCCTAGGTTAATAATGAAAATAATGAAAAAAAACCTAGGTCAATAATGAAAATGACGTCATGACGCAAGGATATTGTCATAACGTTACAGGTTTCTATTGGTTTAATTTCAATTTCAAACTGTCAATTTAATCAAAAAAACAGGTTCCTGTATGTATCATAGGAAATTACCATAGATGTTGATAGAGGGCAGCACTTCCAACCAGAAAAAATAAATTGAGCGCAGATTTCAAACTTATTTTTTATTTTCCACTATAGCAGTAGTAAAAAAAATTATATATATTCCACGGTAGAGAAAGTCATTATATACCTTACGCATTATAAACCTCGGCGCTACGCGCCTCGATTTATAAAAGCGCTCGGTATATAATGACCAACTTCTCTACCTAGGTATATAATGTACTATTTATCTTGAATAGGCATGCGAAAGTAAAAGTGACTATTATACTAGCATGTTTCATTCATCGTAGGGGTGGATGAAACAAATATAATATGTTACTACATGTGACACTAATACCCTGTATAATCGAATCGAATTTAGCGTGCCTGCGATCATTCGACTAATCTGGCAAGGCCTTGGGGGTGTTCCATATTAGCCAGATTGTATTTTAAGCTAACATTATAATATAGGCCATCATCAGATAAATTTTCATGACTGCGAAAATGAGAGAAATTTTTTCAAGTTTCCACTTGCCAGACATATTATCCATATTCACAGATTAGCCAGACTATTTTTTTACGTAATTTCAGTATACCTCTTACTAGTTACTAGTAGAACTATTTTTATCAGTGGAAAAAAAAGGACCCTGGTTTCGTATGTTCTGACGCATTTTCCGCCACAACCCATCGGAAACCCCCCCCCCCCCTAAATATATATGAATTTTGCTTAGAATTACTGACCCTACAATTCTATCCATGTTTCGTGACTGGGCCTAGACTAACATGAGAGTCGTATCACACCAATTATTCCTAACAACAACAATCTCGCCTAAAATTGGCTGAACCAGGTCATCAGGGTCTCCCCCTTATGCCATTATGCCATACCTACCACAGTATAGCATCATCGAAAGCAGTGAATATTCCAGGTATATCTAGATTAAACAGATCAGTACAGATCCTTGAGCAGGAACTCCGTGCTTGATAGAATGATCCGAAGATTATTTAGATACCATTTGCTTCGGGAGAAGAGGTAAGATTCGAATCACCTCAGAACCACACCCCTGAAACCATAAACCTCAAGCTTCTGCAGCAGTGCACAGTGCACTATCATTCATGCAGTCGAAGGACTTCGAGAAGTTGCAGAACACCGCCGCAAAGGCTCGGCCATTATTGAAGTGTGTAAAAAGCTGTCTCAAAACACGAAACATGGCATCATGGTTACCTATTATTGTTTGGAAGAAAAGATTAAAGAATTACTTGTTTACAGCTTCTGCTAAAACACTTATTGTCCGACCTGGAAGTTCCTTTAGTATCTTCTCGGATATTCCGTCCGAGCCAGACGCACACTTTTGATTTCATGAGCATCGGTTGGATGAAAAAAAAATGATTCAGTAACATGAAGATTATGTGTAGCACCTGATTTTCCTGTGACTGTGTTGACAAACCATGCCTGCCCAATATTTGTGTTTGTAATGTTCCTAATCTTATCTAAATTGTGTTGCCAAGTATTTGTATCGGTTTATTTGTTAAGTTCTCATTAGAAATCACTCAAGGAATATTAGGTACCTACCTTATACTTTGCTTATACCAAAGTCATATACCTACTGTACCATTTCAAGTGTTTGGACTTTAGATCTTCACACGTAATATTTACATATTTGTTGTGGGAAAATTTTCTTAGAAACTATGAAGTCAGTATTGTATCGATATTTAGATAGGTACCTACCTTATTAGCATGAAAAATATTGAATTTTTACTTTGTACCATGGACATGAATAAAATTAGTTCGGAAGCCATTTTTTAAATACTAACTGAGCTATAAGTATATTATTATGGCCGCTTTTGTGATGCCCTGGTGGCGCGGTAGCTCTGAAATTTTCCTTACAAGAAATGGAAATTCTATGATAAACGCCCACAAAAAGTTGTACATGAACTAATTTTTCATATGTCCTCTCCTGATTGGTAAAGTCAACATTGAAAAAAAGCTGAAAATTTCATATTATCTGATGTCCTGCACAGGGTAGCAAGGTCAGCTAGGTTATTTATTAGGTACTTCAATTAACTTTTTTATCAATGGATCTGATTGATTGCATTCTATTTATTACATTTTAATCTGAAGTGGCAAATATATACCTAATTTAAACTTTGATCTTTGCAACTGATTGTCTATTTTTGTACTTTTCTACAAGTCTATAGGATGGTATTGCCTATTCAGATGAATGGTGACTAACTTATGTGTAATTATTGCGTATTTTAATTCTGGTTGAGTGAAAACTTCTCTACTAGATATTACAAGAGTTCAGCTACTTACGGTACATGTATGATATACCAAAATAAAAGGCTCATATTTCATATTATTTTAGGACAATAAATTATGCGTAGATAATTTCTGACAGCCTCATCCAGTATCGTCAACATTATTTTGTTGATTTTTTCCTGAATCAAACCAAACTGAAACTACGTATTGCATGGGCCCAATTCTGAGTAAAAATTTATAATTTTCTGACAGCCTCATCCAGTATCGTCAACATTATTTTGTTGATTTTTTCCTGAATCAAAACAAACTGAAACTATGTATTGCATGGGCCCAATTCTGAGTAAAAATTTATAATTTTCTGACAGCCTCATCCAGTATCGTCAACATTATTTTGTTGATTTTTTCCTGAATCAAAACAAACTGAAACTATGTATTGCATGGGCCCAATTCTGAGTAAAAATTTATAATTTTCTTCCCATGCATTTGAATGAAACAGTCCAAACTAACTTAAATAAGTTGAGATCTGCGAATAGATTTTTTTTTGCATCCAAATTATTTTAGGGAGATTGAGAAATAAATCTTTTTGCCATCGGTGAGATTAGATACTGAGTTATCTATCCGCGGACATTGATCAATAAAAAAGAGTAATGATTATCTAGTAACACAATCCAAATTTCAAACAAACAATATGTTTTTTATTGTGTCTACTCAACTTATCGGATTTATTGGCAAAGCTCCATTTTTTATCAAGTAATTTTCTCCAAAATACCCCAGTGAACTTTGCATGGATTATCTTGATTCACACACCTAAGTACTTGAGGTAATTTCAACTACAAATGATAAGCGTTATATAAACATAAATTAAAGGTATATAAGTGCAAATTTCAAATCGAATACCTCAGTATTTTAGCTACTATCAATCAGCGCTAATACCAAAATAAAAAATGGTGCAACTTAATGGAACGTACGAATTCGTTTCCCAAGACAACTACTTGGAATATGTCAAGTCATTGGGTGAGTAAATAGGTACCTACCGATATTCAACAAGAAAAACTGTTATTTTTTATTTTTTTCTAGGACTTCCCGATGACAAAGCTCAAAAAGTTGCCGGTTCAACAGGACCACTAGTCATAGCACTGACTGGAAATAATCTAACAGTTACTACTGCTGGAAACGCAATGGAGTTAACTCTGAATCAAGAATGTGATCACACGTTGCCCACTGGACATCAAGTTAAGGTAGGCACAACTTTATTAAAAAAAAAAAAATCTTCATTACTCCTTATATTTTTTTTTCAGACGACAACCACTGTCAATGGAAATACTATTACATTCAAGTCAAACATGGGGCCGGTCACCGAAGATAGAGTTTTTGAAGTTACTGACAGCGGCTTGACTTCGGTAACTATTTTCTCCATAGAATTTTATCTAATTTTCTTGTATTGCAAAATAATTGCTAACCAATTTTGTTATTATTTTTTAGATGATGACTAATTCAAATGGAGTAAAAGCTGTACGCAAATACAAGAGAGTTTAGTCCATTTTGTATTGTATTTTTGATATACATATCTATTAATAATTTTTGAATAAGTAATTGTATGTTTTATTTCTTTTTCTTCACACGCTGTCAATGTCTTTTTTTTGTACCTATTATTATGATTAGCAAGACGAAATAATGTTGAGCTTGTCCCAGATAAATAATAGTTATTTCCGTCATACTGATTACTGATTGGCGCTACTGCTCAAATTTATCTTCAAGCGGTGCAAAATTTGAACTTTATTGTCATCACAAAAGTGATCCAATATGTACCTAGGACGGAATAAGTATATTATATACCTAGGTAGAGAAGTTGGTCATTATATACCGAACGCTTTTATAAACCGAGATGCCAAGCGCCGAGGTTTATAACAAGTTTATAATGCGCAAGGTATGTGATGGCTTCTCTGCCTAGGGAATCTATGGATGTATAGATTTTTTGACTAGGTACTAAAAAATTTGAGGTGTTAAAATGTTTGGGTTTGATATTGAACCACTAGAAACCTAGCACGTCATGACGTCATTTTGGTTATTGACCTAGGTTTTTTTCATTATTATCATTATTCATTTATGGAGAGAAATTCAATTTTTTCCTAGAGTAAAAGAGAGATAGATATTTCTCAGGTTAGTATCTAATAAAGCTAGCTATTCATCGAAAAGTGTGTAGGTAAACTGAATCTCAAATGTGAATTTTGACAATAACATGAGTGAAAAAGGGATTTTACATACATGTTCCACATAATAGTTTTTCCTACTACTCACAATATCAAATTTTATAGGTACTTTTGGATATTTATGCATTTTTGCAAAGAAACTAATACGATGAGAATCTATTAAACTTTTTTAACGAGTTTTCACGCACTATAGTGTGTAACGTAATGTAAGAAAAATTGAGAAAAAAATTGTAGATGAGTGGACATTTATCATGGTTTTTCTGTTCCGAACTAGCTCTCGATTTTTTTTTTTCTTTATAAATTCAAGAGCCGGGGAATAGACAAAAATTGAGGAATAGAGAAAGGAAATTCAAGCAAAACTGAAGAAAAATTGGTAGGTATGTGAGAGGACATTCATGTATTTTCTAATGCACTTATTGTTTCTTCTTGCTTCCCTCTTTTCGAAATCAATAGAGAAGGAACGTCAATAGAGAATCTCTATTCGTTTTTACAGAATCCCAGCCCAGCAGGCTCTTCAATTTTCTTTATTTCGACAAATTGAAAAGCAGGGAATAAACAAAAATTTAGATGGGAAAATTGATAAATAGAGAGAAGAAATTGAAGGTAGAGAGAAGTAGGGAATGTAAGAAAAATTGAGAAAAAAATTGTAGATTAGAGTGAACATTTATGTTTTTTGTGTTCCAAGCTCTTGATCAATGTTCTCTATTTCGACAATAGTTCAAGAGACGGGAATAAACAAAAATTGAGAAATGGAGGGAATGAAATAAATTGAAAAGAAAAATTGAGAAAAAATTGGTAGATAAGTGAACCACTAGTGAAAATATTTTTTCTATCCCAGGCTCTTGATTTTTATTTTTTTTTTTCAGTAAATTCAAGATCCGGGACTAGACAAACAGTTATTGGGAAATTAAAAAAAAAAATTCACGAGAAATTGAGAAAAAGTCGGTACTGTAGCTCCAAGAGCATATTTTATTCATTATTTGCACCAATTTCTTTGTGTTTAAAGTAGGTAGGTACCTACTAGCATAAATAAATGCTGATAATCAAATTAAACATAAACCTCCATGCTCCGAGCAGTGAAATGTGTTCCAAGTGACCTCTAAGTATTGAGTCGAACAGTTACCTATCCGCCGACCAGTAGGATTCTAGAACGGTAAACTTATCTTGCCGATAGTTATCGGCAAGTTTATCTGAAGATAAATAAACCGGTCATGATAAAATGTGTGCAATTTGGACCCTAAGTGCGCGTTCACATTGACACCGCTCGAGCGGTGAGCGTTGCGTGATGCCGCTGTAGCGATGCCCAAAAATAATTTTAACATTATATTTCAAATGAACATGTTAACACCGCGCAACGCACCGATCCAGTGTGAACATGTTCATTTGAAATATAATGTTAAAATTATTTTTGGGCATCATTACAGCGGCATCGCGCAACGCTCACCGCTCGAGCGGTGTCAATGTGAACGCGCACTTATGTATTTTTGTGCTTCGCTAAAAAACCTGAGAAAAAAAAATGAAACACCCTATGCCCAATTATCGAACGCATCCTCTTGCTATAACACCGAAAATCACCTTTTCTTTTTCTACATTTAAAATCGACGAAAAAATTAACTCACTAGCACAGCCCGAATCGCAAGCATTCCATCAGGGACTGCGGGTGACGTCAACACTATAAGTTGCTGATAGTGACGTCACTCGCAGACCCAGAATTTGATTGAAAGGGAGTTAATGGCCCCACAGCGTTTTTGTTGGACAGTTTTGTTCGACGAGCAAATCTGGTCGAGCAAAAACGACGCAAAACCGAAGTGTGTTTGCGAAAAATTGTCGTTTTTGTTAGCATACAAAACCGATGCAAATAAATATCTGGCTTCGCCTGATTTAGTCCGTCGGATATGTTCGATATGTCAATAAATCCGAAGTGTGTGGGCTACGAATTTAAAAAATGACGGTTTTGTAGGGTAGGGTGTGGTGCGTAGCTGCAGAATTTTATATTATTAACTTATTGAAAAAAATAATAATATTCCACATGACTGATCGTCTTTGGTCAAACTAAACCGAGGTCTGTGTGCAAATTGGATCCGTCGTATTTGCTCGTCGAACAAAACCATCAATCAAAAAGCAGTCTGTGGGGGCCTTTAGGGGAGTATGACACAATTGACACATCACATAACCCAGCATAATCAGGCCTAATGTTTTCAAATGTTTTATGTAGTTTTAAAACGCTACAGTTTCGAACCACTCTTTCAGTCTGTTTCAAAATAGATGTTAAACAGCTGACCTCAAAATACCATTGGTATAGTACACAAAACAATAATTTTAGTCCTGCCCTATCACGTATTCCGTTTTAAAACGGGGCATTTTTGATCAGCACTAATATGATGACGTAGCAATCGAACCAGTTTTGAAACGTTTTAAAACCTACGGCTCAACAGACATCAATAGGAGAGTTCAGAATGGTAAAAAGGGTCGACACTTCTTACACTATTGACACTGATGTGGCGTTCGTATTGGTAGGAGTATGTTTGGTGTACAGGTTTGTTTGTTTATGTTGTTCGGGGCTGCATTTCCTGCTTTGGGGCGTACGTTTGTGAGCGTTTTTATATGGGTGTATCTGCCATAAATATTACAGCTTAAGCCGGAGTCTCATGCATCCGTTTTCCGACGAAAGATGTTTGGAAAACCTTCTCTTTTGACATATTTTCATACGATTATGTCAGAATAGAGGGTTTTTTCGGACATTTTTTGTCGGAAAACGTTCTCTTTTGACATATTTTTATACGATTATGTCAGAATAGAAGGTTTTTCGGACATCTTCCGACGGAAAACGGATGCATGAGACTCCGGCTTTAGTTCAAAAAAAACAAACCTACTTTATTGGCGTTTGGAAATAATTTGGTGCCCGAATGATGTGGAGTTGGTGGGACACCGTTTACTCGCTACAAAATGCTGGTGTATTCGGTGTTACACCGCCGATAACATCTTAGTTGAGTTGGGATTTTTTTGCAGTGCTAGTGCGGTGTGTTGGTGTAGTGCAGTGGGCCGTGTATCAAAGTGTCGACACTTTTTACACTATTGAGACCGTGGCGTTCGTTGATTGGTAGGAGTAAGTTTGGTGTACACTTTATTTGCGTTTGGAAATAATTTGGTGCCCGAATGGTGGGACACCATTTACTCGGTATAATATAATGGTGTATTCGGTGTTACACCGCTGATTACACCTTCATCGCGTGATATATCACTGCACTACACGAACACCACACTAGCACCGCACTAAAATGGCAATCCGAACTCAACTAATGTGTAATCGGCGGTGTAATACCGAATACATCATCGAGTAAACGGTGTCTTACCATCTTTACACCTTTCGCACATCAAATTATTTCCAAAAGCAAATAAAGTGTACACCAAGCTTACTCCTACCAATTAACTAACGCCACAGTGTCAAAGGAGTAAAAAGTGTCGACACTTTCTACCATTCCGAACTCATCCCTTTATCACGTGATAGAACACCGCACTACATGAACACCGCTAGTACTGTACTAAAATCCCATTCCGAACTCAACTCATAGGTGAGTGCGGAATGGTACAAAGTGTCGACACTTTTTACACTATTGACACTGTGGCTTTCCTTAAGTTGAGTTCGAAATGGAATTTTAGTTCGGTGTTGGTGTACAGAGTTGAAACACGGGATGAAGCTGTAATTGGCAATCTAAAATCGAATGCACCATCATTTCGAACCGATTAAATGGTGTCTAACTATCTTTACAGCATTTGATTGCCAAATTATTTCCTAATACGCCAAAAAGCAATACCCGAACAGCTGGAGTGCGAATGGAGTCACTCGGAGTGAGCAAGCCGAACCCACCTAAAATCGCATTCCGAACTCAACTCATAACCTACAAATTTTTGACACCTTCATCTTCACATAAACAAAAATATCATATTTTGAATTTTGATCAAATCCATTACTTCCTTTTTTGGAATTTGCTGGTTTTCTTCGCTTTTCTTCTTCATAAAACTAATTAATAAAGGTCGTCAAATGGCTGGAACCAGTGGAAAAGGAACATTTCAACCAGTAAGTTTAATATACTATCGTGAATAAGTTTCAATAGGAATATTGAAAAATCATGCTTTTAGGATTCAGATGTTCATATTTCCTACGAAGATCAGCAAAGAATCAACGTGTTTGCTAGATTGAATGCTAAATTGGAGGATTTGAAGGATGAAGTTAAAGTTAAGGAGGTAAAATCAATAATTATTATTGTTTGAATAAGTTAAAAAATTAATTTAACCTACGAGCGTGCGGAAACTGCGCTTTTTTACCGCACTCATTTGCTAGTAGAAAGTAGCACATCACCGCATAGTTTGTCGTAAAGTAGACTGTTAAGTGTGGGGTCAAGTTAGTTTACCGCATAGTCAGGGCCGATCCTAGGGTATCGGCCACCCGCGTGCAAAGAGCAATTGCGCCGCCCCATAGAGATATGGTACCCTTACGTAGGTGGCGGTGGTCGTAGCCCGCCGGAGGCAGAAAATCCTTTGGGTGCCACGCCCAAAAGCCTTAATTTTGAGCCTCAAAATGAACGTTTAGAGGAAAAAAACTTGATTGGAACATATTTGTTTTCTATGAGTTGTTTGAATGCGGGTCAGTGCTGATCAATAATGACAATCAGTATCCTAAAATAAGTAGGGTGTGTGCTTGGGCCTGGGTACGAAAGTGAAAAATAGGGCGCTGTGGAAAATCAGGACACCCCAGTCCTTAGTCGTAATGTAATACTTACCTACATAACATACCCACATGCACTTGGAAGTCTTTGATATAGTTTTTCCAAAGTTAATTGGAACAAGGGGAACATAAATTATAACTGGTGGCTGACTAGTGGCAGTGCATTTTTCATGGAAATTTTCAGTGTCTAGTCAGCCACCAGTTGGTACCTTGTTCCAATTGAGTTTGGAAATACTATACCAAAAAAGTTGGTATTAATAAAATAAAACATTACTCTGTCCTGGAACGGAAAAAATATTGAAGAGTTGAAAAAGATTATTTCTGAAGACCTAAATCTTGTAAAGAGCTGGTGTGACTCTAACTTGCTTTGTTTTAACTCTAAGAAAACCAACATATTGACATTTAAATTTTTTTTTGATGATTTATTATTAGACACACACACAATTGAAAATAAAACTAGCTGTAAATTTCTTGGTGTTCATGTTGATACTCAACTTAAGTTTAATGAGCACGTTACAAATCTAAACAAACGATTGGCAAGTGGTTGCTATGCTGTAAGAATAGCGTCAAATGAACTTGGTTTGAATACTGCTAAGTTGGTTTATTTCTCGTTGGTTGAATTTCATATCAGGTATGGCATTGCATTTTGGGGTAACTGTTCTAATAAATTGTTTGATTCTGTTTTTGTCATTCAAAAGAGAGCAGTGCGCTATTTGTGTAAGGTTGGATATTGGGAGCATTGCAAGCCACTATTTTTAAAACATAAAATACTTACAGTATGCTGCATATTTATCATGGAAACTGCTTGCCTTATGCACAAAAAACATTATGATGAGTTAGAATATCCAAGAACTTATCCAACTAGGCAACTTCTTAAAATTCAGCTTTCTATACCCAAGACTGCATTGGCGCAAAATTCACTAATTTATAAAAGTAGGCAAATTTTTAATCATCTGCCTGTTAACTTAAGGCAGATAGGTGGTTTTAAAAAGTTTAGACTAGAGCTCAAAACATTTTTACATGGAAAAGCCTACTATCATATGAATGAATTTTTAAATGAAAAATTTTAATTTTGTTTGTTTCATTGTTTTGTTTTGTTCTGACCGCAACCTTTATGTTTTTTCTGTATTGGCTGTACCTTCTATATGACTCTATAGTTTGATGTAGTAAAAATTGTACAAGTGTTGCTTAGGATTATGCTTTGACATTTATGTTTATGTTTATTTTTTATTTTATTGATTGTACCTCTTTTTGTTTTTTTATAACCCGATAATTTTTAATTACTTGCACATTATTTAAGATCATGCTTTGTCAATGAAATTTATTTTTCCGACAATAAAGTATATTTTGATTGATTGATTGATTGATTGATAATGTTAGGAGTATTCATCTAGTTCTGTTGGACGGTTAGTAGTTATTCTTTAGAATTAGATAAATTGGGAACAAAAATAAACATTTTGAAAAAACAAAGCAGAAGTAATTAGGAAATATAAGAAATTATGGGATGCGATCTTATAATGAATGTGTAAAGAGTAAAAACATTATGCGTGAGCCTACACATTGACTGTGCACTAAACTTTCTATTTATGCTAGAAGGAGATCGGGGTTTATTCTCATTTTTCAGGGGTTTTTTAAAGTTCAGCTTATTTTGCGAAATTCGTTAAAAGTTTTACTCGAATCTTAAATGACAGAATTATAGGCGGCCTGCGGCCGTCCTTAGATTTGGCCTCCCGCGTGCGGGGCACGAGCTGCACACCTGCTAGGATCGGCCCTGCGCATAGTGTGTGGTAAAGTAGACCTCTATTTATAACCAAAAATCCCAAAAATTTCAATATTGCCTTTTGGAGATGTAGATGCTCATTATATGTAAAATTTTGTACTTAACACATGCAGAAAGTACATTTACTGCCCTTAATGGCTTGCCCTAATGCTGCTTTGCGTTGTTGCATGCGGTAAAGTATCACTTTTCGCATTTGTTAGGTAACAAATTGACATAAAAATTACTTTTTCCTAGGACTGCTTCTGAAAATGGAGTTTTTCGCACGCTAGGCAACCTTTGAAATTAGAGTTTTTCGCACAGCATGCGAAAAAGTTTTTTCCACGCATTTTAGCTTGCGAAAAAGTTTTTCACAGGCTCCTCAGCATGCGAAAAAAAATTTCACACGCTTCAAGTTTTCTAACAAATGAAAATTATTTATTTATTTATTTATTTATTATACGGGATAGCCCCATTAACAGCAAAATTACAACAAACAATAATAAATTGGTTAGGTATATACATTATAAAACCTGCAGCAAGTAAGTGTTAACACTAAAAGAAAAACAAGAAACAACAAAATTTAAACTTAACGAAAAACAATCTAAGCTACCCAGAAAAGAAAAAAAAATATATATACATACTTAAGGAGAAAAAAAAAACAAAAATAAAATAGATTAACCATCAATCAACAAAAACAAAATTAATTAAAGTAATACTGCTCCACACCATTATTTTCATAACAAAACTGCCCTTTTAAAAATCCCTATCGATACATTGAAGACATCAATATCATGACAATTAATTAAAGACATATACCTATGTAAAAGGCTGTTAACCCCATATGTTGTCCTATGGAAAGGAATATGGAACACATTATTGTTGCGTAGACCCTGATAATATGGTACATTTAAGCCTACATAATTCAAGAGATCTGGGCTGTCAATCAAGCCATTTACAATTTTATAAATAAAAACAGCACCAAACACATCACGGCGATTTCCTAAAGGACTTAGGGAAAGTTGACGCTCAATATTATTGTAGTCATGGTCAATGATTGTAGGAAACTTATACCTAAAAGCACATATTCTCAAAAATTTATGTTGCACTCTTTCCAATAATGCAGAGTGAACATGAAAAAAGGGAGACCACACAACTGAACCATACTCTAGCACTGACCGCACTAAAGAGCAGTAAACAAGCCTCACTGATTCAACAGAAAAATACCTGCAGTTTCTATTAATAAAACCTAACATTTTTGACCCCCTTTTACTTATTGAGATAACATGTTCAACAAATGACAATTTCTCATCGAATATAACGCCTAGATCCTCAACGGATGATACATACTTAAGTTGTTGACCTTCTATTGTATAATCTGTTCCGATTCTGTTTGGTTTCCTTGTGAAACTTATAAAGCAACATTTCTTTACATTCAAAAATAATTTGTTTGAGACGCACCATTCTGTCACACGATCTAAATCTTCTTTCAATAGTTTTCCAAAATTTAATATCGTCTGCAAATAACAAGCATAAACTATATAAATTACATATTTGGTTGTTTTATTTTGCAGTTGTAGGAAAAGCATTGTAAAAAACTTGTTTGAAAACCTTTTTTCACACTTGCTCGACTTGTGGAACTCGCCTAAGGCTCGGTCCAACAAACTGTCTCGCCGTGCGAAAAAAGTCGTTTTCAAAACTTGTTGTTTAAATAACTATTGTTTTCAACTGTATCCATTTTCTCAGGATGCAGGTCACCTGTCGGTTCACATACATGAAAAAATGCAAGGTTCAGCAGTTTCACCATTTACATTATTCACTACAAAATTTTAATTAAAGATAATTTTAAACTATCTCTCATTAGTCACATCTAATAACTTTTTATTTGATATGTAGCTACCTCGGTTTGGTGGCTGCAGTAACAGGACAAAGTGGAAATTTCACAATTCTTAGAGGCTTTTTTTCAAAATTTTTAATTTTCCATTTTACATAAAATATAAAATAATATTAGTTTTTATATCTAGAATGATCTCAAGATTCTTGAAGATGCCTGCGATGAAATAGCCTTATTCGACGATGACGAAGAAATTCCCTATTTAGTAGGTGAAGTCTTTATCTATCAAAATCTAGAAAAAACTCAGGTTAGTAGAAAAATCCATTATTCCGTAACTAATTTACATTTTATCTTATTTATTAGAAGTGCCTAGAAGAAGCCAAGGAAAAAAATGAAAAAGAAATTGCTGCTCTACACAAGAAGTCTGATGACATCAGAGATCAAATGGATGAGCTTAAAGGTCACTTATACGGGAAATTTGGTAGCCATATTAATCTTGAAGCTGATGATTAATAATTTTTAAATTTTTTTGAATAATGTAAAATTTGGTAAACAAGCGTTTTTATTTAGTTGCATAATTTATGAAATAAACATTTTGCAATGTAAATTGGTTTTATTAATTTATAAGTGTGCAGCAAATAATCTAAAGTTGGTTGAGTTAACCACATACATTTTCAGTTATTCAACATTGTTCTCAGTTTTTACTTCAAAGTTTCTGATTACTTCAATTTTAATAGGTAAAATTTTGTTGCCAATAAATTGATGAATGTTTTGTACTAATTACAGTTATTGGTTGATTTGGAATTTTTGGTTGAAACATCATACATTACCTAATCTGAATATTTGAAGTCTCTCCTGTGTCAGTAAATTTTTATTTTTGGTTATTTATTATTAGATAAATTCAATAACTTTAATTTTCTATTATGCTAGTCGTATTTTAATTACTTGAAAAATTTTGGTTTTTGACAAATTCTCAAAAAAAAAAATCTAGAGGGGTTGGGGTTAGACAGCACAATCTTGCAGGCCGAATTTTGAATTATTTTTTTGAGGCTTTGTCATACTATCCACAGATGAATAATGACCCAAAGCCAAACATTGCTCAAGCTCAATATGAATGAAGTTTTCTTTATTTTTCATCACATCAGTACAAATACATTAAATATATGGGCAATGTAGAGACAGTAGTACAAGCCTCAAAGTAAGTAATGGTACATTGCATTATTGACCCTGTGATTCCTGTAAAAAGTTCCAGTTCCAGCTTCACTACCTACTCTTTATAATTTATCATATAAGTGATTTGCATTTAACCAAGAGGATTTTTTTTTGGGTAGACTATTAGCATTCCATAAATTTTTTTAATGCACTCCAAAACAGCATATCGCTCATATCAGGCTAAATTATTGTAAAACTAATGTGTTTTTTTTTTCTAAACAAGCTTATAGCACTAATTATTATTTATAACTGGATGACTAGGTATGCCTAAATATCTACCAAACAAACATTTATTAGGTTATAGAATTATCACCTTAGGTAATTATTTACCCATAAATAATAATTATTTTTTAAAAAGCATTTAGTAGTTCAATTATTGTAATATTTATGTGCTAATATAATGAACTAAAACTTATCAACTGATGACTGCTGGATAGGTACCTTTGTTTCACGAGGGTTCATACTTTTGAAACTCCCACTGCTGATAAAGACATTTTTTTTTCTTCAAATTTTTAGAATGTTTTTCTTGCTCCTACTATTTTATATAGGTAGTAGATGAAGTCTTCATCTATCAAAATGCAGAAAACACACAGGTCATTTCTCAAGGCCATAACTTCATTTTAATAAAAATAAATACCCGGAGTAAATACCTAATTCATGAAATGTGTTTAGTAATTTATAAATCTGCAGCAAACAATCTAAAGTTGGTTCGATTCCCAAATAATGTTCCAGCTTCAAATCTTTGATAGGCCACTGAAAAAACCCAAAGAACTTCTTTGCGTTTATTCTCTTTATGAGGCAATATCTGAAATATAATTTTTTCAATAAACTGTTTAAAACAAATCAATATTTTCTCATACTTTCAATCCACTCGGAAACTGCATTCTTTCATAATCATCATTAATAATTTCCCAATTTTCTTTTCTATATGAAGTATTTGGGTCCCATTTTGCTAACAAGACATCAATCAAAAGTGAAAAATAAATGTATCCATACTGGTCTATGGCTTCTGTTATTGATTGTTGGTCTCTTGTACCTTTGTAGGTCTATATTAATCAGTTTTTAATAATTTAATAAGTAAATATCAAATGCTTACATGAAAGAGTTGAGGTGCTCCATAAAGAATTTCAAAATTATCCCGATTTTTAAGATCTTTAACAAAAACCCAAGATTCTTTGATATTTGACATGGCATGATAATATAGTTTTCTATCTTCTGGACCGTCTGATGCGGGTGAAAGTGCAACACTTATTATTCCATCAGCATAGCTAAAAGAATCGCCTGAAAATAGTCATTTTATTCGATGAATTTTTAACGCAAAATTTTACCTCCTATAGTGTAGTTTTCATATTTTGGATCTGGTTCGAAACTTTTGTCTTGTATACTCCACGATGTATTTTGTTTGAGACTGTATACTAACAATTTGAAACCATTTGAATCTGCTATATACACCCAAGTATTTTCGCATTCGTTGTCGTATGATTCAACTTCAGCCTCTGGCGAAAGGAACCAGGAAATATTTCCATGTTGCTCGTAAGGGATTTCATATTTGTGAAGAAGTTTATCCTAAAAATGCAAAAATTTGATTTCTGTTGAATTGTGTAGTTGAATTTTTACCGTTTGCAAATCGAAAGCCAAAATTTGTGGTGGACATATGAAATCGCTTCCTATAACTCCAGTGTCTGATACCCAAAGTCTGTCACATCCGTCCCACTAGAAAATCAAATAAATGGTTAAAATTATTATCATTTTATAAATCTTTTGTGTGAGTCAAGTCAAACTGGTGAATACCACCCCTAAAATGAACTTTCCACTAACCCATATTCTAAACACTGACACTATCCTATGATTATTGCATTTTTTTGGATCAACGTGCCAAGACCAAGAAGGATATGGTTCAATAACCGGATTTCCATCTCTGGTTTCATTTATAATCACACCAAGGGCAGCTGGTACGCCCATTTTTCTTAATCTTGGTGCTGTTACGAAAATTCTTTCCTCGCCAGTATATTGATTAAATGTGTATTGGGCATCGATAGGCTGGATGTTTCCAATATTAAATGTACCATTTTGTATTGCTTCTAAACGCTCTTCTTCGCTGTTGAATTTGTACTCTATTTGTTTCCATTGGTGAACAAGTTTAAAGTCGTACTCTTTGCCCAAAGAGGGAATAACGGTTAGAATAAATATCAAGGCAAATACTAAAATGGAACAATTTTATATTTGTTTTATTTATTTGAAGATTTTCTTACTTTTCATAGCGTCTGCTTCTGTCGAGTTTGGTTTTTTACTAACGCACTAACGCAAAATGGCTCGAATTTATATCTTAATTATCTGCTTTAAATACAATTTTAGCACTTAAAGCCACAATATCTACTTATACCTATTATTGATTAAAGTTATTGTTCTTGGGAAAACAAAAAAAAAAATATTGTGGTTGTTTTTTTTTTCCATTATTTCAACATGGAATAATTTAACTTTTGTTAGCAATAGCTATAAGATTTTAGGCTTTTACGTAATTTGTGTGCGATAATTATTAATGCATTCACTACATTATTAGAACAATAATTTTCATACTGCATATTATGTTCATTGTCAAATTACGGTAAATTTTAATATTTTCAGTAGGTCTGCCACCTGTTAAAGGCAACGTACCTATCATGGTAATTTCTCTTATTTTCATTTTTCTTTATTTTTATTAAGGCATTTAGCTGACAGATAGAACTTTTTTATTCATTTTGTATTAAGATTATGTTTCTCTAGTTGACGTAGATAATTGAAGGAATCCCTTTATACATATTGTTTTTGAATACTGAAATTATTATTTTTTGTTTGAAGGCAATTATTTATTGATTCACGCAGGTATAATATTAAAACAACAGGAAAACTAATGTTTCAACCACAAAGCGAATATGTTTTTTTTTTATTTGCCAGTGAAATAATTATCTGAATTTTTCCTTTCCGTAGCAAGCGATTCATAAGGCAAGTCTATTTTTTCGTTACTTTCATCTTTTCTAAGAAACATTAACACCGAATCACCCTTTAAACCCTTTTACCTTGTAGTAACACATACCCGGGTTCGTTCAGCAAGATTGAACGGTTTGAATTTTAATTATCTCTTCTTCTAAAAAAATTAAATGAAAAACAAATAGGACCTACGTTGTCGAAACTTACTCAATTTTACTTACTTGACATGCGCCCGACAATAGCAAAATTAGGGAAATTTAAGGGAAGTTGTGACATGTAAAATAAACGAAAAATTTGTCAAACGTCTAATTTATTATTAGAAAATCGTACCGTTTTCGACCGGAACTTACGAGGGGGAAGAGCACGGCAGAGAAACCCTCGATCTAACATTCCTCAAAAATCAAAACATACTGTGTCATTTTAATAAATAATTGTGGGTCAATAAAAGTTTAAACTAGGTACCGTCCCTGTTCTTGTGCTAAAATTTTGATTCTACACACTACATTCAATCAACACTACCTATATTCAATACTGAAGAGTTTTTGGTTAGCTTGGGTTAGTTTCACCAGCAGGTACTGAGGTCCCGTACGGGAGGCTACTCAGCTATAGTTGTTATTTTGAGGCAATTATCTCTAGGTTGATTTTTCAATTTGCTTGCTACGATATTCGCTCGTCAGGGCAGGAAAGTGTTAGTAGATTCAACAAGGCCCTAATGCATGCTCTGAATATCAAAATTAAAATCCCAGCACAACAAACAGTACATAATTTCTTAGGTTTTAATTTACTTTTTATCTGCATTGTTCACAACAGTATGAAACGATTTTTGTTAAATACATGAACAATGCACATGCTATAAACAAACAAAAAAACATAATACTTGTATAAATTGAGGACAAGTGTAATAGATCCAATCAGCTACTGTTTAATTTGTTGTACCTACTTACTCGTTCAACTTAGAGATGCACGTGTATCGGCCAACCCGCTTTTCCGCATTCTCTGCCTCAATACTGGACTATTTCTGCACCAATTTCAATCAGATTGAAATTCAGTGTGTAACGATCAATGTCGGTTTGTCTGTCTACGAGGCAGTAATGGGACTTGTGCCATTTGGCGATGAAGCTGATCAGGGTAGGTTTAGACGCGGTAGACTTTATACTAGGGTAAACTTTTTTAAATTTTCTTCGGTTTGCCACCGATCGGAATGGAATGACGTTCTGGCTACTGTCAGCCTATTGCAGGCAGTTTCATCAAATGTTGCTGAAAAATTTTGAAATGGCCTTCCCTATTGTCAGTATAAAGAAGCGAAAGAGAAAACCCTGGTTTACAAAGGGCCTGCGAACTTCTGGAAAAAATATACGCTCCCTTCATTACATCAGAAAATTCTTTATGAACAATCCAATATTTTTAAACTATTTTGATAGGTACCGAAGGGTTTACAGAAGATCGATGAGGCTTGCCAAGTGGACTTATTTTCAGAATAGGATAAATAAGTCTTCTAGTAGATCAAAGGAGACTTGGAAAATTGTAAATGACCTGAGGAGTAGGAATAATGTTTCGGTCACTTCAACCAATCTGAATCCTGATGACCTAAATTCCTTATACTGCAATATTGCCACTGAACTCTCAGCCAAAATTTCAACAGGAAATGATCCCAGGAGCTATCTGAAACATGTAGCGGTGGCTGAATCTTTCTTTCTAGCTCCAACTAATGCAGAAGAGCTTATATGTATACTCGGTAATATCAGGAATAAGGGTGCGTCGGGTTGCGATGGGCTCTCATTGAAGGTTTTTCCAGCTTTACCCATGGTTGCTTTGCAGGTTCTTGCTGAGGCAATTAACACATCTTTTGTGTCGGGGGTTTTCCATCTTGCCTGAATAGAGCAATGATTATCCTTTTATACATATAAGGGTGGAGAGCACGATTCTCCTTCTAATTTTAGGCCTATAGCATTACTGCTTACTCCGGGTAAGGTTGTGGAGCGGCTTGTTAAGGTTAGGATTTTATTGTTCTTGAACAACCGTGGCCTTTTAAGTTCTCAGCAGTTTGGCTTTCGGGAATCCATGAGTACAGGGGGTGCCATCTTTGACTTTCTTGAACACCTGTACAATAGTCTGAACTGTTGTGGAGCGCTGCAGCAGTGTTCTGTGATTTGTCAAAGGTTTTTGACTGTGTGAGTCACAGAGTGCTACTGTGGAAACTCGAGCTGTATAGTTTCAGGGGAACTGCCCTAGAGTGGTTTCGTTCTTACCTATCGGATCGCGTTCAGACTGTCAAGTTTAATGGTGGTACCTCTAAGGAACTTGATATTAGTGTGGGCGGTACTTGTCCTCTGCTTTTCCTCATTTATGTGAATGATCTACCACATCTTCAGATAACGGGTAGATTCACAATCTTTGCAGACGATACCACTATCCTCTGGCATGATTCTGATGTTGGTAGAATGGAGGCCAATATGAGGACGGGTGTGCTTGAAATAAAGTGCTGGTGCGAGGCCAATTCTCATTGACATTCAATACATCTAAGACCAAAATCTTCAAGTTTAAATGTGCTACTGAGGATATCTACTTGGAAAATGTACCCATCGTTTAATAAACTCCTAGGTTTGTCAAAAACAGGCCCCTTAAGTTTAAAGGCCACATTGCAAAAGTATGAAACAAAATTTCGTCTAGTTGCTATGCCCTCAGAGTTATTGCTAATAACCTAAATTTCTCCATTGCCAAATGTGCGTATTTCGCGAATATTGAGTCCCATCTTCGATGCGGAATCTGCTTCTGGGGCTCTTGTTCTGACTATCTTTTTAATTCAGTGTTCTTACTTCAGAAAAGGGCCATCAGGATAGTTGTGTGGACCCAAACCTCGGGATTTGTGTCGCCCTCTGTTTCTGAGCCACGGTATTCTAACTTTCTGTTGTCTGTTTATTCTGGAAACGACCTGTTTAGTCTTCAGGAAGTATAAGTGCGAATTGGAGCTAGGGGGTCAATACAATACGCGCCAGGATTACGTGATGAGATTGCCTATCCCCCACTCAGAACTCATCCGTAGCTCTATCATATATGAAAAGAGAAAATTATTTGATAAACTCCCTTTAAAGATCAGAAAGCTCAACACTGAAAAGGAGCTTCGTATAGAAGTAAAGAAATTTCTGACGGGTAAAGTATACTATAGTTTGAACGAGTTCTTTAATAATGTGATTTAAGGTTTTACGTATTTTGATTGTTCTTTCACCTCGCCTAGTCTTGGCCATTTATTGTAATGTTTTTATTTTTAGATTGTAATGTTTTTATTTTTAAATTTTTATTGTAAAGATTTAATTTATGCATCTTTTATACATTGACTTATATTTTAATTGTATTTTTGTTTTTACTTTTATTTGTATTTTTACGTCTGTTTGTTATTTTAATTGTACATGTATTTCAATTTTTGGCATTTGTTCTCGCATTTATTTTGCTTTTTATTTTATTACCTATTATATTTTATTTTTTTTATATATTTTGATTCTGATTACTTTATATTACCTGAGTGGCTGCTTTGTACATCAGATGTTTTTCTTTTTACAATAAAGCATATTTTGATTTGATTTGAACTCTCAAAAACAAAATAATAACAATTATTCAACTGACCTGTGAATGCTTTTTATGACACATAGACTAATCACAAATTGGATTGAACAATCAGTTTTTTACGAAATAAAAATTGAATAATGGACAATGGCGGACAAGCGGTCTAAGCGACAAGCTTCTTCTCTAGTCTCTCATTTTCTATCTATCCTCCGGCACCTACGCTTTTCCTGTGGCGCACCCCCATTCCCAAAAATTTCACAGCGCATTTATGGTTGCAACAATTACTTTTCTTTAGTTAACGTTTTAAAAAGTTAGGATTTGATGAAATAATATTTCACATAGGTGGTTTTCCTCAACCTTTTAGTATCTACCTACTCTCTAATCTTCTGGCCACCATTTGTGTGGTAAGAAGCCACATGTTTTTCCTCTATAGTCTCCTCGGAGACTTTTGACTTGTTGGACATTTTAAAAAGCTGCTTTTGCTTTGAGTGAGTAAATAAGTAAGTAAGTAAGTAAGCAAGTTTATCAATCGAAAAATATTTACACTTTGTTAATTAAGCAATGTACAGGAAATGTGACGCTAAGTTTTCTCAAAACTTGTATGCACCTTAACTGTTGGTACATTTTGCCATATATTATTGTTTATTTGCTTACATGTCTAAATTTAATCTACTCTAATAATCAAGTATAATTGGGCAAGTATAAGTAAAATTAGGGTACCTATATAATATGAAATAGCACCTTTAAAGTAGGTATATGATAAGGAGATGATTAATGCTTTCAAGCGAATGAAAGAATAAAGCCCAGAGACCAAAACACACAAAAAAAACGAAGATCGATAATGAAAATCAAGAATAACACAGCTTAGTGTAACCTTTTTGTGGTTGTATTTTTTTAACTAAGCTGCTGTGGTGTTTTTCATTTATCAGTGGCATGATTGATAACTTGCTGTACGTGACACCTATTGGTACGCAGCCCAACAAGTCAAAGATTCCTGAAACGTGTTTGTATCAATGGGCAATTTACTCTAGAAGAATCTGTATAATTATTATCTGGATATTAAACATTAAACTAAACTTTTATTAGAGAAATAACTTAACAAGGCAAAAGGAAACTTATGAACTTTTTTGACACACGACGTTGTTAATTTGTTCAGTTTTAATTTCTTCCAAAAGATAAGGTTTTACTTCTAAAGAACTGGTAATTAAATAAACGTAAATATCTGTTTCGAGCATTAATTCGACATCATCTGGTAATTTAATATCTGGAAATTTTTGAGATAAGGCAACGGCGACCACCAAGTCTTTGCCAGGTACATAATAAATCTCGTAGTCGTAACGCATGAGTCTTAATCGGGAGTTAGATCATCGATAGGTTTATTTTGGAGTAATTGCACTAACGGCTTGTGGTCTGTCTCAATTTAAATTTTTATTCCAGAAATATATTCTGAACATTTTTCGCAAGCCCATGTTTGTGCATATCGTGATTCTATTTTAGACAATAATCTAGAGGCGTAACAAACTATTTTCTTTTCTCCTTTTTTATCCTTCTTAAAAAGGCAAGCACCTAATCCCAAAGATGAAGCATCTGCGGACACTACTACAGTTTTTGAATGATCAAAATACTCTAATTAAGGACTTCTTTGTAGAAAATCTTTTATTTTAGAAAAACTACGTTTTTGTGGTGGATCCCAACAATACCCAACATTTTTCTTAAACAAGGATGATAAAACTTGGGACCGATCAAGGATAAAGCGGCTTGAAAAATTCACCATTCCTAGAAATCTTAAAAGTTCATTTTTATCGCGAGGTTCTGGAAAATTATTAATTGCTTGTATTCTTTCTGGATCTATAGATATGCCCATGTTTGATATGGAATGACCTAAGAATTTTAGAGACTGAACTCCGAAAAGACACTTTTGTTCATTTAACGTGATACCTTCAGCAGCGTGAATGCGCCTTAAAACTTCGAAAAGGATTTGATTGTGTTTTTCTAAGGTAGGTGAATTAATAAGAATCTCGTCTATATGAAAAATAACTCCTTAGGATTTTATTTAATAATAATGAAATACATTCTGGTGCGCACGTAATTCCAAAGGGTAATCTTTTAAAGATAAAGCGACCAAAAGGGGTAATAAAGCATGTCAAATGTTGGCACTTTTTTTTTTAAAGTTTTATTTGATAAAACCCCGACGTGGTATCTAATCGACTAAAAAAATTTAAAACCTGAGACTTGAGCAAGTATCCTTTCGGCTTTGCCTATGGGAAAATGAGACCGTAAAACCGCGAATTTTTTCATTGTCACGCGAGACAAAACTTTTTTCAGGCGTATCTACCTTATTATTTTGAGTAGCGATGCGAGATTTTCACAAGAGTTCTTAGAACGTTTTTCTTTATTTTCTGGATATAAGTTGTATTTCAAGGTTACACCCCCTTCAAGTTTAAATGTGAGCTGCAGTGATCGGACATTGTAGCTGTGTCCAATGCCTGCCAGTCTTAAACTGATTATATCAAATCAAATCAAAAATCAATTGAGAATTTTATTAAAATCTATGTAGAATTTTAACGATTCCGTTGAATTTGTTTAAGCATTTGTTGTTTTATCTCAGGTCTGTAGTCTTTATTATTGATATCTAGTAGGTCCGTATAGAGTAAGCAAATCTTGTTAATCTATAAATTACAACTTTGTCACAAATAATCTAAAATTAGTAACAGTTCCATTTAATTTATTAACTTCGTAACGTTGTTCAGCTGTAGCAAACATCCAAAGAGCTTCACTTGGCCCTCCTCTGTAAAGTCTAATCTAAAATAAAAACAAAATTGATTTTGTGTTTATGAAAATTTACAAGTCACCTTCAAAGCAGTAGGAAACTGCATTGTCTGCTTGTCATTAGCTATAATTTCAAAATTCTCTACTTCATAATTTTCTCTAGGGTCCCATTTAGCTAGTTCTACAGTAATTAACAAAGGGAAATATACGTTGCCATTTTTATCTATTGCTTCAATTGATGCTTGTTGTTGTCTTGTATGAGTATACGTCTAAATTTTAAAAAAAATACATATAAAATGCTACAATGAAAATTTAAAAAAATACTTGCATTGAAAAGATGAGAAGATTTATAAGGCACAAGAAAATTGCTCGCATTTTTCAAATACTTTGTATATACCCAAGATTCTTTAATATTTGCTAGGCCATGATAACGTAATTTTCTGCCATGAATTAAATCTGTTTTGGGTGTTAGAGCTATTGTGAACAAACCATCAGTAGCATTCAACTCTTCCCCTAGAAACTGATAGAGTTAGTAGGTATAGAAGCGAATAATAATTGTACAGAGTGTCCCACTAAGGTCGGCCAGGTACGATATTATGGGCACCATAGAACTTACGGCTTCGGGATTTTTTTTCTTCACTAAATCGGCTAAGAGAAATTGATGGAAATTGTTTTCAAGTTTCTAAGATGACCGCTAGGGGGCGCAGTTACGATGATATAACTACAGTGACTGGAAAAACCTTCACAAACAGTGGCGACAATAGACGAAAATTTTGCAACAACATGGCCGCCGCCTGTACAAACTAAATGGATGGCAGCCATGTTGTTGCAAAATTTTCGTCTCTTGTCGCCAATGTTTGTAAAGGTTTATTGAGTCACATATTTATATTGAAAACGCCGCCATCTTGTTCCCAACCTCTTGTTACTTTTAAATATGAATATATAGGATTTAGGTGAACATCCATCATAAAACATGGAAAACAACGTATTTGATGGACCTAATAATGGTCATCAAATATGCCGATTTCAATTTTTTATCATAGATGTCCATTTAAATCCTATATATTAATATTTAAAAATAACAAGAGGCTGGAAACAAGATGGCGGCGGGAACTCTATTATCGCCACTGTAACTAACGGTTTATTTAGCCACAGTAGATATAACTAAAAATTCAAATTTTCTCAAGAAATCGCTATATTAAGATACTGTTTTAACAACAGAAATCAAAAGCTCACTAAATTTGCACCAGATTTCATTGTTATTAAAAACACCGCTTCGATCGTTCGGGGTCGATAGTTCCCACCGCGTCTTCTGGAGGTCGCTGTTCAACCAAGATCCAGTTTTTTTTAATTCTCTTGAAAAATCCAAATCGCATGATATTATCTTTTTATTGCTGCGCTGAGAGAGCAAAAAAATATCTACATTTTGGCACAAACCGCAATTCAATATCTGCATTCCTTTCCAAGTTACTTAAGGTCTATGGTTTCCATAATATCGTACCTCGTCGATCTTAGTGGAACACCCTGTATATTACCTATATTGAAACAAACCTGCAATTATAAAGTTTGTATAAGCTGGATCATTTTCAAAACTTTGATCCTGTATCCTCCAAGAAGTATTTAGCTGTAGACTATAGACTAACAAACCAGGTCCATAAGGATCTGCTATGTAGATAAACGTATCTTCGCATGAGTTGCCAACGTCTGCCACTGGGTCAATGTACCATGAAGTGTTTTGATACTGATCGTATGGGATTTCGTATTTATGTAACAATTTATCCTAGGAAATAAATATATCAAAAACTTTAATATAATCTAAGATTAGTTAACGAATTAGTATTCACCGTTTCTAAATCAAACGCTATTATTTGCGGAGTACACACAAAACCTGAACCAACTATGTTACGTCATATATTTGGCCGTTCGGTGCAATTATCTTCCTTGCCTCCAAGTATGAGCTTAGTATCGCTATGAGGTACTGGCTTACTCCTCCCTTTACTAGAGCGTCCATGATGCCCTGCCACGGCGCAGAGTTGAACGCGTTTTGTATGTCCAGCAGGATCATCACACAGAAATCCCTATTTTTCACTGCCTTGCTGTCTATGTCTTCCTTAATTTGTTTAACCCTTGCCAGAGCGTCGACCGTTGATTTTCCCTTGGTGAATCCGTACTGATTCGGTCTTATCATCCCCTTGGTTCTGGTCTCTTCTTGGAGTCTGTTTCGCAGTAGTATTTCCAAAAGTTTTCCTGCCGTGTTAATCAGACATAGGGGTCTGAAGCTTCTTTGGTCTGTCGGTTGTTTTCGTGGTTTTTCGATCAGAGCCAGTCTTGCGCTCTTCCATATTTCTGGAAAGACTCCACTAGCCAGGCACTCGTTGTACACGTTTAGAAAGGTGTCTGTGCACCCCCGTGCACTAGCGTTTAGTATCTCGGGGGTTATGTTGTCTGGCCCCGGGGATTTTTTTGGTTTTATCTGTTTCATGGCTGCTTTTAGTTCTTCGGTCGTATTCGTAAACTTCTGTACCTCGTTTCTATCTATGTTGATTCTGTTCCATGTTATTTTAGGTCTTTTAGGGAAGAGTTTTTCAATTTGTTCAGCTACTGTATCCGAGTCAATTTTATTTCCCGGCCTTAGGTTGAGCTTCTTGGGGACTATTTGATACGCCTTTCCCCATATGTTATCTTCCAGTTCCGCACATAGCTCCTCCCATTTTTTCTTTTTGCTATTTTTTATTTCGTACTTCAGTTTTTGTCTGGCTTCCTTGTATTGTTTGTTAAGTATTTCAATTAGTCGGCTTTCTGGGTCTCGTAGTCTTAGTCTGGTGAGCTGTCTCTTTATCTTTATGCTGGCTTTCCTCTTTTCAGCAATTTCGTTGTTCCACCAGTATGCTGGAGGGTACTTGTCCCTATTTCCCTTTGGCTTAGCAAAGTGCTTATCACATGCTCTGCTGATGTCTTCTATCAGGCTGTTAGGGTCCACGCTATCTTTGTTTCGGATCATAAGGCTGGCTTCCTGGGTAAACTTCTCAAGTGTTTTTGCGTTGGTTTTCCATCCCCTATAGGTTTTGGGTGAGCTTCTTTTATCGCGTTGTGACATTTGTATCTGGAAGGTTATGCTCTGGTGGTCGCTGAGATGTTCTTGTTCCTCTTCCACTCTCCAGTTTTGTATTCTCTTGCTGATTCCTGGGCTTGCAACTGTGAAGTCTATTAAAGAGCATCCTGCTGTGCCCACGAATGTAGGCGCATTGCCCACGTTAAGTACAACCAGCCCCGCCGCTGCAATCCAGTCTTCCAGGATGTTTCCCCTTGGGTTGTTATTTCTGGATCCAAAAATAGACGATTTGGCGTTTAGGTCCCCCCCTATTATGACTTCTTTTTTTCTGGTTCTCACGTGTGTGTCCATGGAGTTTATCAGTTCCTCGAAATCTTCCATCAGACCGTTCGGGGAAAAATAGCACGACATTACTATGTATTCCTCAAGCTCTACGCATACAAAGCCCTTACCTCTGCAGCTTCTGATCACTGTGATATTTTTTCCGGTTTTTATGAAGCTGTCCGACTCCTGATCCAGATATTCTCCTGTAGCCAAAGTCACATTAGGTTCCTGTCCAATTACAATGTCTATTTCCTCCTCCTCAACTGTCTTGTATAAGAGGTCGTGAGCTGCTCGGCATCTATTCATGTTGATTTGTAGAACTTGTATCTTCGTTGTTGTTATACTGGTGTCACGGTTGCTATTTTTATTGTCCCCCATTGTTTGGTGTTCTGCGTGCTATGGATAGTGTCCTCCTGTAGATTTTGCACTTGCCCGTTCCGGCTTTGTGCCCTTCCTCGTTGCAGAGAGGGCATTTCTCAGCTCCTTTGCATTCCCTTAGCTTATGCCCTGCTTCTCCGCACTTGAAGCACAGTTTTGACCTGTCCGGTCCTGTGCATTCGCTTTCCCAGTGTCCGTGTCCCCAGCATCGGTAACATCTTTGTAGTCTCACTCTAGCTTCCATGTGGCACGTTACGAAGCCAATTCTGATTGTCCTCTCCTGTAGCAGTTTTTCCGCTTCCTCTTTATTGATGTTCAGTGTTACTGCCTGCCGATCGTTAGACATTGGTCTCAGGTCTCCAAGTTTGTAATCTAGGTTATCCAGTTCTGGAATAATTGTCCTTAGGGCTTCCTCCACTTCCCTTTTTTCTGTTACGGCATCTAGACCTCTTATATGTATGGTTTCTCTGTTTAGTTCCCCCCTAGTTTCCTGATTTTGTTGTTGCCATTATTATCCATGGTTTCCAAGGCCTTGTATATCTTGCTCACCGTTTGTTTATCCTTCTCTGTTGTGATAAGAAGTTTTCCTTCCCTGGTGCTTCTAATTCCTCTAATTCCTTTTTCCGCATTATTTGTCTTTAGTATAGCCTTAATTTCTGTCAGGCTCTCACTAAAAGTTTTCCCCGCATTTTCTACTACCGATGCATATGAGTCTCTCCCTTGTCTTCGCGGTTTCTCACTGGCAGTATCTAATTTTTTATTTGTGTAGATGTATGCCGCTGTTGATGTTCCGTGGAAGATGGCCTCTACCATTTTCCGGAATCGGGTTTGTTGCATACATTCTACTTTATGGAGGATCACCCCTTCTTCCGTCACCAATTCTGTTTTTAGGTCGGATATTTTATTATACAAATCTTCTTCTGTTTCGTTGTGAGTTATTTTTATTATTTTTCTTGTTTTTGTTGTATTCGTCGTTTTGGTTCTGATTCGGAAATCTTGTTCTAGCATGCCGAAATCCTCTTTTATATGTTCCAGTTCTGGATACCTATCCCTGTAGATTTTCTGTACCCCTCTGTCCATGTTTGCTTCACTTTTCCCTACCAGTACCACCTTTACGATCTCGTCCTTTGTAGCTAAAGGATTTCCAACTACTATTTCAGGGTTCGTAAATATGTTTTCCTCCCATGTTTTCTCGCTTTTTTCCGTCCAGGTCGCAAAATTGTCGCACTCGCCCAGCTCCGTGAGAGCTTGTGCCACTTTTCTTTGGCAGCTAGGGCACTTCTGGTTGTCTTTTGTAATGTTTTGTTCTTTTACCGAGCTTATTGGTTCTTCGTTTTGGTTTTCCAGCCATTCTATCAGATTTTTTTCCTCCATACTGGTAAGTTGTGCTCTCATTTTTATGATTATGTCCTTAATTTGTCTTTTCGTGTTTTGCTCCTTATTTCCGTCACCATCTTTGAGTAGTTAATTATCAGGTCTTTTATCTGTTTTGCTTCTGTGCTCTTTTTGGGTTTTATTATTTCTATACCATGGGATAAGTCGATGAACGCGGTATCCATTCTTTTCCGTTTCTTGTCCTCTTCTGTGACCTCCATATGCTCCATTTCCAGGTCTGGTACCGACGCCCTTCTTGGTGGTGTCCTTACAATCTTGTTTTTTCTGGCTGATGCGAATTGCACAAACCCAGAATAGTTGCTTCCAGTCGTTGGTGTCCGTACCCCGGCCTGGTTCCCTACCAGAGGTGCGTCTGCATTTGCCGATGTGGCTATCGAATTGTTGCCCCCCCCCCCCCAGAATCCGAGAGGCAGCCTGCAGTTTCCACTGCAGGGAGGGATTCCCGACTTTCCGTCGTACCCTCCTTGTGGGGTATCTTATTTTCACTATTCGACATTCTCATCTGCTTCTTTGGTTTTGATGGGTGTCCTTCCCTGAAGATTGAAGAGATAGATTTGAAAAGAGAGCTCCCTAGCCCTCGAATGCTCTAATAGCGTCGGGAGCGGAAAAAGAAGAGTTTGATCAAGAGAGATCGGATAGGAAAGAGAAAAGAGAGGGACCTGACCCAAGACAAGTTGAAGAAAGGTCAGAGTCCAGCTAGGGTGCCTCGGGAATGCCACTTCCCGTTCTCACAAGGTGTGAGTCCCTGAGGTTGAGCTATCCTTAGCAACCCAACTTAACCCAACTTAACCCAACTTAACCCAATTTAGCCAAACCCAACTTAACCCAACTCAACCCAACTTAACCCAATTTAGCCTAAACCAACTTAACCCAACTTAACCCAACTCAACCCAACTTAGGGCGGGTATTATAAAACTACTTTGAAAGTTAACTTTAAGTTAACTTCTAGAATTACATTTAATTCGAAAAGTTAACTTCAAGTTAACTGTCAAAGCAGTTTTATAATACCCACCCTTAATCCAATTTAGCCTAACCCAACTTAACCCAACGACCTTTGAAAGTTTTCCCAAAAAATCATAAGGGGGGGTACCTTCTTACCTCGATTTCTAGTGATAAAACTCATAATCTCAAAATGTTACTGAATTAAGTGATAGTAATATTGGGTTTTTAAAAGAAAATGAAATTTTAAGCAGCAAAAACTGAATTTTTTGTGGATAAATTATTGCCTGAAATCAAACAGAGCTTTATTATTGAAGATCCAAATATTATTGAAAGTAGAAAGTTTACCAGTATGACACAAAATTTAATGAGAGCTTGTAACGTTTAAAGTTACTTGTCCTTTTTTCTTTCAAATTTAACTAAATATGATCCTTTTTAAATGTTAACTAACATTTAAAATTACAGGGTTCCCGCTATTTATTATATAGCAATTATTAAATTATCACACTAGAGGGCGCAATTTTCTTTTAAATTTGACACCCGGTTAGTACCAACAATTTCCGTTGGCTATCTCGAAAGGAAGCGCTGTATCGGTGCTTACCTGGCCCGTGGGAAATTGATTATCGGCCCTTTTGAAATTGTCTCGTTGAACCAATGAACTATAACCAAAAACTGGAATGCGAACACATATAGACGAACGTGAAGCCTAGTGCCGCTACTGCGGATACCTGTTTTTGTCGCACTCATTATGTTAAATGGCGGAAATTGCTTCCAATACGTATTCCAATTCATGAAACCTGTGAAGGTAAATATGACAAAACTTTCCAAAACGTCATATGTCAGCGAGCAACAGAAAAAAACAACATCCCCCTTTCTGGCATTTATCTTTCATGGCTACATTTTTTTGGCAGATATGGCAATGTGTGCGCATTCCAGTTTTTGACTATAGTTCATTGCGTTGAACTGTACATACGGTTAACTGAAAGTGCTGATCAAAGAAAAAATATCTTACCAGCCTTTGGGCGTTGCCTTGTTTAACGAATTAAAGTTGCGTGTGGCAATAATCTGTCGATTTAAGAAAAATTCGGATCAAAAAGTCTCGTGATTACGATTTAATTGAAGTTTGAATTCCCACTCAAAAACGTGGGTCTTTCGAACGGCTGACTTTACCCAAGTCCATTCCAAAAAAGGCCCCATTTTCAAATCAACACCATTTCCGCGGACCTTGATATTGAGCCTTTGAAGGGCTTCCTATCCTACTAGAATCAAGACCCCACAGGTCCATATTGTCCGTCGATTTTAATCTGATACTCGGACGGAATGTGAGCTGGTGGTTCCCTACATTAAAACGCCAATGGTTACCTGACGTCACACCTGTTTTTGCCATATGAAACACCCCATCGCTCCTCATACGGAAAGTGTCAGTTAAAAATCGACGAACAATACGTGTGCTGCATCTTTGACGACGATTATAATCCCTTTTCTGCCCGACTTCTGGGCTGGAATCCACTAGTTCCATGTGTGGCCCCTTTCGTCCAGATACCGAGAGTCGAGAATGGATGATTTCCGGATATACCTTATATTGGGATGGAGGCTTGTATAAGTTTCAATAATAACTTTTAACTTTCCTTTTTTTATTGCATAAAATCATTTTTACCATTTTTACAGTCTATTAACAAAGCTATGATAATTTTTTATAAATGTACAAATTTATTATCGACACCATGGCGAAGGAAAATTGGTTCTTTTGTTATTAATTTTCTTATGTTAGCATAACTTCTAATGTTGCCTTAAATTTTATAAATTTTATAAATAAGTGATCTGAATAAGGGTCAAGTTTGGACAATATGTTCTGAATTTGAATTCTCAGATAATAGCTTGCCGTCGAAAATCGATCAATTTTTAACCAGGGCTCTTATAACCTATATAGCGGAGGATTTTCTTCAAGTCGACCATTTGACTTATAATCCAACCTTTGATTTTTTTTTACAGGTACAACTTGTTTCTTTAATCTATCTTTTTGCAGAGATTTACCATATTCATTGATAAATTTTTTTTAATCATTTTTCCGGAAAAGTAAATCTTTATAAACTCTGTTTTTTTTTTTTAAGATAAAAGTCAAAATGACATTATGTTGGCAACACAATTTAAAATTGTCAATGCTTTCAAATTTTTTATGTAGAAAAGGCTTGTGTTGCCGACATAGTTACTAAATTTTTGACTTGGGGAATTATCTTTTAATAAAAAACAAACTTTATTTTCCTTTCAAATTGATAATATAGGTAACTAATGTTTATGAATTTATGAGGCAAGTATATTGAGGTACCATTTGTTGTTATGCTATTTTTATCATTATTATTATTTTTATTTTTTGAGCTTAAATCATCCGATTAAAGGTTAACTTCTTTATTTTGATTAAGTGTACGGTGTCTTACCAACAATAGTTGTTCTTACATTATTTTGGAATAGACAAATACTGAATTGTTTACTGACTGGAATTTTCACACTTCCATATTTTGTGCAATTTTATAATTCATTTTTTTTAAATTCAGTGGCGCCCTCGCCATTCTGTTCTGAAAAACTATCAACCCACACCTAATTTTTTTTTTTTCGCTGAGCTAACTGAGCATATTATGGACCCCTAATTAATTCATTAATAAAAGGGGTTACAAGCTGCCCAAAATGTCTAATTAAATGCATTTTTGCATGCAGGAAGTTGTAGGGAGTTATTGAATTGAAATCTTACAAAATTACGTAAAAAATGTCAGCTGTGTAAAAATTACAAGTAAGCAGAGGATATTGTCTACTTTTTATTCCTCCACCGATAAAGGAAGGCAGGCACTAAACTTAATTAGTGGCGGCCAAAATAGTGCCTAGATCTATCAGTGCCTGGCCGTATGAGCCCTTCAGTAACTCCCCGAAAATGCCTTGCTGAAAACCCTCAAACATATGAAACCAATGAAGAAAAGTTAATTTTTTTTGATGATACCAAACATTTGCCAGTCATTACTGTTGGAATTGGAGAAGTTGAAGAGGATCAGCTTTCAAGCATTCCAGAAGATGATTAAACTCAAGTGTGTATTGAAACTGAAAAGGAGGATTCATTAAATGAAGGAAGAATGGAGGAAGAGAAGTTGATAAGTGTTGATATAGAAGTGGAAAAAGAATGTGCCAAATTTGAAGTAGAATTTGAACAAATATCTGATTCAAGCTGCTCTAATAATGTAGCGAGAGTTTTTGCTGAAGAAGAACTTTCAAGCACTAAGGGCCCAATAAATCAAAAAATCGCAGAAACTAATAATAAACGTAGGTACATTCTCCACTCAACTCTGAAGTTGAAAAAACAAATATATTAGTTGCTTCTGTAGCAAAATCTTCTATAATCAATGAAAGTGTTGCAAAAACCAAAATGTCAGTCGAAACTAAAGATTTGCAAGTCATTTTTAAACAACGCTGATTTATCATATAAATGAAGTAGAAAACAAGAAAGAAGCTTTTTCAAGTGATGGAGACCTATCAGAAAAAATATTTGGGGAAACCTTAGCAGAAGTAGGTAAGTGCTTCTCTAAGCAACTCAATCGAACATTCGATAAATGAACTAGAAAAATACCTATTGAAACTATTGTAGCAACTGAAGATAAAACTTCTCCATCCAATTTTGAAGTTGAAAAAATAAATATATTACCTTCTGAAGAAAAGGCTTTGATGATTGATGCAAAAATAGCAGTTGAAACTGGAGATCTGCAAGACAAATCGTTTTCAAGCAATATTGTTGTAACAGATATCAAGCAAGAATCTTCTTCAAGTAATGAAAAGCCAGGAAAAAGAGTTGCAGAAGTCCAAGCAGAAATAGAAGAGACTGTTTCTCCAAGCAATTATGAGATAAATGAAATAAATAAATCAGGTGCTACTGAATATTAAGAACCTTCAAATAACAAGAGCTTAATAAATGAAGAACTAGAAAAATAGCAGTTGACCCTATTGCAACTTCTGAATTCAACTTTAAAGTCGAAGACATAGATAGTTCACCTCCGTCTGAAGAAAAGACCTTTTTTCTAATTGATTCTGAAGAAGTAAATATATCAGTTGGAATTGAAGATGTGCAAGACAATTCTGTTACGCTAAATTCTTTTACCCATAACACAGTTTTCACAAGCACCCGTTTGAAAAAAAACCCGAGAACTAACTCTGCCTCCAGAAAATGCGTATTCAAGTCCCAATTTATTCAGTGGCAAATCGGAAAATGACGAAGACCATGAAATGTTTTTCTCGTAATTTATGCCATTGAATCAGTGTGAATTGAAAGATAACGAAGCGAGTAAATTGAATTATTCCTTGAAAACTTGGGATAAAATAATCTATTAGACTCCAAAGTCATAAAGAATTCTAGGAATGCCCATATAATGGAATAAACATTTCGCAATGTGCATTGTTTTTAATAATTATCTATATCAGCAACAAATAATCTAAAATTGGTCCGATTTCCAAATAAGGTTCCAGCTTCGAATCTTTGGTATGCAACTGCAAAAACCCAAAGAACTTCATGGTGTTTATTTGCCTTATAAGGCAATACCTGAAATTTAATTGTTAGGTGAATAAATTTATAAAACGTATTTACTCTAACCTTTAATCCACTTGGAAACTGCATTCTTTCCGTATCATTAGCAATAATTTTCCAATTTTCTTTTTTATACGGAGTATTTGGGTTCCATTTAATTAATAGAACATCAATCAAAAGTGAAAAGTAAACATATCCATTACGATCTGTGGCTTCTATTAATGATTGTTGGTCTCTTTTATCTATGTAGGTCTATAATACTTAGTTTTCAATAATTTCAATAACTAATTATCAGAATTCTCACATGAAAGAATTTAGATGCTCCATTAGGAACTTCAAAATTGTGTCGATTTTTAAGATGCTTGACATAAACCCATGATTCTTTAATATTCGACATGGCATGGTAACGCAGTTTTCTGTTTTCTGGCCCGTCTGATTTGGGTGTGAGTGCTACAGTTATCAATCCATCAGCATAGAAATAAGTGTCACCTTAAAGAAAAACAATCTATTCGATGAATTTCAAAGGCATATAATTACCTCCAATAGTGTAGTTTGCATATTTTCGATCCGGATCCGGTTTGAAACTCTTGTCTACTACACTCCAAGATGCGTTTTGTTTGAGACTGTACACTAACAAAGTAAAGCCGGTAGGATTTGCTGCATAAACCCAAGTATTTTCGCATTTGTTGTTAAACGATTCAACTTCAGCAATTGGTGAAACGTACCAGGAAACATTGTTGTATTGCCCGTAAGGGATTTCGTATTTGTGCAGAAGTTTATCCTATAGAAACCAAATTAGATTTCTGTTGATCTTATCTAATGCTTACCGTTTTCAAATCAAAAGCCAATATTTGCGGTGGGCATATGAAACTGTCACCTTGTATTCCAGTGTCTGATATCCAAAGTCTGTCACATTCGTCCCACTAAAAAAAACCTCATACATATAGAACATTGAATATTGTAAATTATTAGTAATATCACCCAGACTCTGAACGGTGACACTATCCTATGATAATTGCATTTTTCCGTATTTATGTGCCAAGACCAAGAAGGATATGGTTCAATAACCGGATTACCATCTCTGGTTTCATCTATAATCACTCCAATGCCAGCTGGTGTGCCTGTTTGCTTCAATCTTGGTGTGGTCACGAAAATTCGTTCCTCACCAGTGTCGCAATTGTACGTGTATTGGGCATCCATAGGCTGGACTTTGCCAATATCGAAAGTTCCATTTTGTATCGCTTCTTGACGTTCCTCTTCACTGGAAAATTTGTATTCTATCTGTTTCCATTGGTGGACTAGTTTAAAGTCGTACTTTTTGCCCGAACAATGAATTACGATTATAAACATCAGAGCAATAACTGCTTAAATGGAATAATTACTTATTGATTCTAATTAAGTAATATGTCTTACTTCTCATGTTTGCTCTGGTCAATCTTGAACACACAATAAAAGCAAAATAATTGTTTGTTTTTTAAACCTTGAATACAGCATATCATTTCAAAATAAAAGCCACAAAACATAAATCACTGATAAACTATTATATGGAGTCATAACAATAAATTTCAGAGTATTGTTACACTTTTTTGTGAAAAAATGTAGGTCTTTCCCTTTTATCGTTGGTATTGTTATTAACAAATTGCTTTAAGCTATCAGGATTTTAGCTTTTTTGATGTACCTAGTTTGTTAATGTTATTAATACTAATGAATAGATGGAAAAGTAGAACAATCAATTTCCAACTTGTACCCACATAGGTAGGTTTGCTTTTAATTTGATTCGGCATTGTTGTATGAAATTTTAGGCTTTTATAATTATTGTGCGAACTATATCGGCAGAAGCTTCTTCAAAATATAATTACTGATTCCTCCATGCCACACCTAATAAAAAGCCTATGCCACATTTAGAAAGATAGAAGACCATTCTTTTCTCTCTTCCAATGATATTCCATTCCATCTGCTCTAGAAATATATTTTTGTCTTCAATAATTGGATTCACGTACCTGGGTGTTCATCCCTGGGGCCTTATTCTGTAAGAACGAACCGTTCGATTCGGTAGAATTTCTTCGATTATGACGTCATTTTTGGTTTGGTTTTCGCGCTACCAAACCGAAAATGACGTCACAATCGAAGAAATCCTACCGAATCGAACGGTTCGTTTTTTACAGAATAAGGCCTCTGGGAGCCCCCAATGCTACAAATTGTGCACAATTTCAACAACTTAGGAAAAAACTTAATTTGGCAACTTCGCACTCTGTTTAATTTATAACAATATGTATTTCAATCCGAGGATCGATTGATAAAGGAAGCATAAATAAGTTAAATAAATCCGAGAGCTGTGTAGGCAGAAAATTGTTCAATTTATAATCGATTATCCCCTGGCACATCTCATCAAAGCAATCTATAGAGAAACAGTGAAGCATTATTTCCTTATTCCAAATGAATTTTTAGTTATTTCTGTCATTCTATTGATTAGGTCAATACTGTCACGGCTCTGGAGTGCGTAACAGAAATTTTGGGTTCGTTTATTCCAAAATCAAATTCCAGTTAACACATCAATAATTTATTCCACGTTACTATTATACACTCGGACACTAATTACTTCACTAATTAACTCACACAGCTGAACTCTTTACAACTCTTAACAATAATCACTATCTAAATCATATCACAGTCAATCATAAACTTAAAACTACTAACTAATACCGGCCTTTATATATCTGTAATCTATTCGTATTTAATACAGAATAAACGCGATAATCTTTTTGCCCGAATAAAGCAGTGTTTTATAGATTGCGAGTTGAATTCTGTACATGCTGGCGAACGTGCCACACTGTCCTCCTCTTAATGTTGATCGTCCCAGCAACTTCGCACCCATCTATCCAAATGTACAACTTTCATCTTACTGCTGGTGTTGTGCTGAACTCGATAAACCAAATAATTGATCCTGTTGAGTATTCTGTAGGGTCCTTCCCATACTGAAGACAATTTCAATAACTTTCCTTTCTTTCTTGTTGGATTAAACAGCCACACCAAATCACCTTCTTGAAATCCGGCTGAATTGACTTTCAAGTCGTATCTAGTCTTCATTCGGTCACTGGCCAGCTGATAAAGCTCCCGAGCTAAATCATGTTTCCCCAGAAGTCGTGCCCTTACTTCGTTGGCATAATCTCAAATTTATTTTCGTTCTTCTCCATGTATTTCAAACATCAGATCGCAAGGTAACTTGGGCTGGAACTCTGTAATGGATAGAGATCGTTATCCCTATCGCTATGGCACTTGCTATCTTCTTCTCTCTTTTCGAAATCAATAGAGAGGGGACGTCAATAGAGATAGAGAAAATATGACTAATCGTTACAGAGTCCCCAGTCCTGGGTTCCCCTCCAAAAACGATTCTAGCTGGACTCGTGAAACCATTAAAAATAGAGACAAGTGTTTGTCCCAATCTCGCTGGTTCTTTGCGACCACTTTTGTCAGGTGTTCCTTTATGGTCTTATTAAGTCGTTCTACCATGCCACCAGACTGTGGATGTAAAGGTGTTGTCCTTGTCTTACGAATACCCATGATCTCACAAATTTTCTTGAAAATGGCAGAATCGAAGTTTCGTCCATGACGACTAAAAACTTCGCCCAATGGGCAATAATGATGGCTTCTTGATTGGGAATAGCGAAAACTTCTGGCCGTTTACTGAAGTAATCCATGATAACCAAGATCTATTTATTACCACGCTCTAACTCGGGGAATGGTCCTGCGACACCTGTGCTACCAGTAAAGGCCCTAAGGATCAACAAAAATCCATGGCGTTGGCTTTGCTATTAACACCAGCCTTATGCCTAGACTGACTGAACTGCCCATGGTATATCAGAACGTTTAATGACGCTAAAGTATCAGTTGCAAGACCAAAGCTTTGTTCACATATTCAGTGTTTACGCACCAACTTTGAATTCTGAGCAACAAACTAAAGAAACCTTTTACGAACAGCTTGAACATGTACTCAGACACATTCCAAAAAGCCACCGAATAATCCTGTTGGGTGACCTTAATGCAAGAGTAGGCAAAAATTTTAATATCTGGCCTAATGTAATTGGTACGCACGGAATAGGTAACATTAATAGCAACGATGAGCTTCTACTTACTAAATGCTTTGAACATGATTTGACAATAACCAACACGCAGTTCAGACAGAGAAACAAATACAAGGGCACTTGGCGCCAACCAAGATCTGGACACTTGGCACATCATTGATTACATTATAGTCAAGAGAAAGCACTTAAAAGAAGTAATAATTACAAAAACCGTAACAAACATTGAGTGCTAGACCGATCATCGTCTCGTAATCTCGTTTTTGAGGACATAGAAACATTCTGGGCAGGTCTAAAAGATTCGCTTTATGAATCAAGTGTATCAGTTGTAGGAGTTCCAGAGAACAAAAAGCAAGAAGATTGGTTCTTAGAAAATTTGCAGCAAATAAAGAGCATCTTGGACAGTGGCGTAGTGAAGATGCTCCTGGCCCGTGTTCAAAAATTTTACCGAAAAATGAAAGAAATATATATTTTTCTGAAATATACAGGGTGAACCTGAAGTATGGAACATATTCAGTATAAAATAAATGAAGGCGTTATGGAAAAAACCGCTTGGACACGTCGATTATTTTTTTCCGCTTGAGATTTTTTCACACCAATTTTTTTATACAGGTTGTTCCAAGAACAGCTGTAGTACCATTATCACCTTCACTTTCTTTTTAAATCGTCCCTTTGTATATTATATTTCTGGATTTTGCGCAAAATTCAAGACATATTTCATGATTGTACAATTTCATTCCAGAAATACCCTTCTAGAATAAAAAAAAAAGTTCTAAGTTCACATAAAAATGTAAGAAATGAAGACTTTACCTACGTATGTGTACAGGGTGATTCCAAAATGACGTATGAGCCCTCCACTATGTTGTGGGGGATCCTTCAAGGATCTTCAAGAAAATACTCAAAATAATATAAATTTACTCCTAACAAAGTTATTAGAAGAACACGCAGTGGTAAAATTGGCAACATCTAAAATACTTCCACCAATATTGGATTATACCTCTGTTCTAATAATGCACCTTATGCTTGTCCTAACTTTATTATCTTAACCGGTACCGCAACTACCTAATTACCTAATATTTTAGCAGGTAACGTTGCCAGATTAATTTTTTGGATTTGAAGGTTGTAACCCCCTTTTGTTATAGTTATTTATGTATCAAGGGAATTATGCAGGTGTTAATACCCCAGGGCAACGTTTGTGTCCCGAGGGCCTCCGCCCCGAGGGACACCAATTGCCCGTGGGTATTAACTCCTGATAATTCCCGTGGTACATAGATAATTTTATATCCTACTGAATTTACTGTATTCTGTCTATTTTTATAAAGGAATAAGCCATAAATCAAAATTTCTATTTTTTGTCAAAGTGTTACCTATTCAAGGTAAAAGCGGGAGTTATGGAAATCCTTAACTCCCTTGGGAGTTATGATATCCTTAACTCCCTTCCTTAACTCCCTTGGGAGTTATGAAAATCCCTAAGTCCCTTGGGAGTTAAGACCCTGTTTATGATTATCGTAACCAAGGTATTATATGGTTTTAATAGTTCAGTAGGACATAAATGAATTAACAAGAGGCCCATAATATGCTCGGTTTGCTCAGCGAAAAATTATTAGGTATGGGTTGATAGTATAATCAGTAGATACACAATGGCAAGGGCGTCACTGAATTTTTTTTTTTTAAATTAATAATAAAATTGCATAAAAGAAAAGAAAATATAAAGATTCAAGTTTCCAAAAAAATAATTTTAAAAAAAATTAATAATGATTGAAAAATTCTATTGATAAATATGGTCAGCTTCTGTAAAAAAAAAATCAATAAAACCAAATTGTACCTACATATATGAAATCAAAGGGTAAATGTTGAAGGTATAAAGGAGTTTATAATTAATATAACCCAGATGAAAAATTGATTAATTTTTGGCGTCATGGGTACTTACCCAACAATTTCAAATTTAGAACATATTGAAAAATCTATAGTAAATACGGCAAATCAAAAATTAAAAAATAGAGTTCACTCTGGTGTCAAGAATAATGAATGAAATTGAAACTTTAAAATTTAACGGTAATCGGGTCTATTCTGTAACTCGAATCGAATCGACAAACGAAAACTTGAATCGATAACTGTGGAAAAATGTCCACAGTTATCGATTCAAGTTTTCGATTGTCGATTCGATTTGAGTTACAGAATAGACCCGAAATGTCGGTAAAAATTCAATCAAATATGGTAATTGGCGTTTTCAATTAAAAGAAATGGACGATAAAGTATGAAAAAATTCATATTCCCGCCAACATTTGCTTGCTTGTCAATGTCCAATGTGTATTGGATGTTTAGCAATCCCCTGGTTTTTATTCTAATCGGGACTTCACCGAGGAGTTAGGCATCTTTGTTAGGTGAATGGAAAATGACAATGACCGACATAAAAAGGTGAAATTTGGAATTGGAAAGAGAATGTGGGAAGTAAACAGCTTCCGCAAACTAAACTTGAACGTGAATTACTTTGTATACTTGATGAGCCGTGGATTTCCCTTTCTTTTGCGAGTATCCTTTCTAATTTTGTGGATCCAAATTTTGATAAATCTAGGATTTGATGAAAACTTATGAAAAGACACGTCCGCCGGTGAAAAGGAATTATTTTCATGAAAAGGCACACTACACACAATCACCATTGTTAGGAAAAAACCTTGAAAAAACCGAGGAAATAATAGTTTCCAGCCTCTGAGGTTTCCAGTATCCACCCGTATTAGAAGTCTTGTCAACAAACCACTATCAACGGCTGTCAATCATTGTTTTCATGCTCTTTTGGCGTCTGACAGTTTGACGCCAGAGAGAGAGGGGCTTCTAAATTGAAAAGGTCAATTGATAATAATATAGATTTCATAGAAAAAGTAGTAAAAGTTATAATTGAAACTCTATACAAGCCTCAATCCCAACAAAAAGGTAGGTAGACTACAGAAGTCGGTAGCCATCCAGTCTCGGTCACTTGACGAAGGGAACCGTACATGGCACTTGCGGATTCCAGCCTAGAATCCAGACAGATAAGGGCTAGAATTGTCGTCAAATGTGGGGCACACGTACCGACTTGTGAGGGTCTTGATTCTTGTAGGGTAGGAACTCCTTTAAAAGCTCTATGCCACACTCTACGGAAATGGTGTTACTATTGAAAATGTGGCCTTTTTGGAATGGACTTGTTGAGAGAAACGGCTCTCCGAAAGACCCTAAGTAATAAGGCAATCAGAATTCATATCTCTGGAGAACAGCATCGCTGTGGAATAAACTCCCTGCGACGGTTTTTCCTGCAGGTTACAACCTGAACCGTTTCAAGACCAACATACACCGACATTTCCGCGCACTTGCCGCTTCTCGAGCGTGATAGGACATTTCCTTGCGAGTGCGCATATCCGTTAAAAAAAAAAAAAAAAAAATGAACAACCATTAGGTAGGTACTTAAAAAAAAAAAATTAAAGAAACTTAGCACGAGAGGGGCAAAATTCAAACTTGAATAAAACGGCAATAAGGCATTCCATGAACAACCATTAGGTACTTGAAAAAGTCAGACAAGGGTGTGTACTTGTCCCAGTTCTTTTCAATATTTTTGTCGCTGCGCTAGCCATAATGGTGGACACCAAGTTATAAGTACGAGGTATAGCAATTAGGTACCGATTTGATGGAAGCCTCTTTAATCTCAAAAGGCTCAGAGCCAAGACTAGATCGAAAAATATCACCGATTTACAGTATGCTGACGATTGCGGTTTGTTGGCTGAGTCATCTGAACAGCTACAAATAATCCGCGAAACCTACACGTGAGCCTACGAAGCTTTAAGGTCTGAAAATAAATATTAACAAAACCAAGATAATGATCACGCCCCCAGTGCAAGAAAACGCGTTATTATCCATATTCAAGGAAACGCGTTGAAGAACGTAGATCACTTCAACTATCTTGGTAGCATAGTAAACAAAGGAAACATCAATGAGGAAATACAATATCGCATTAATAGCGCCACTGCACCTTTTTGGAGACTTAGAAACAGAGTTTTTGACAATCATGACCTTGCTATATCCACTAAGGTCGCTGTGTATAGAGCGATAGTTATTCCAGCATCAACATATAGCTGTGAAACCTGGGTGCCATAAAGAAGACACGTCAAAGCTCAAGAGCGTCTTCAACAGAGACAGCTACGTCAGATTATGCACATACAATGGTTTCATAAAATATCAAACATAGAAGTACTCCAGAGAGAAAAGCGTCTCAGACATTGTTGGACAAGGCCGTCTCAGGTGGGCAGGTCACGTAGCTCGCATGCCCCAAAAACGTCTACCCAAAAGTGTTTCCTCCATGGCGAGCTTGCCGGAAGGCCGACGCAAACAGGGTGGTCAATTAAAGCGTTTTAAGGATGTCTTCCATAACAATCTGAAATCTATGAACATTCAAGGTAATTGGGAAGATCTTGCGCAGGACCGTAACGAATGGAGGAGAGTTGTTGATACATTCACAGAAGACACACCAGATAGGCCGCGTCGGAATATTCCAGGAGAAAATTATGAATGTTCGGAATGTGGAAGAATAATATCTTCTAGAATTGGCTTTTTTAGCCAGAGGAGTACACACAGAAGATAACGAAGTCTGTGGTTGTTAGCACTATCTTTTTGTTCATAAATTCGGTAATCGAATAAAACTTTATGTATATATGTACCAGGGGGGCTTTATTTGAAATTAATGCAACTTTGCGTACCATCGTCACCAAAGTATCTGGGACACAAATAATGCATAATAATCTCCTGGACTAATTCTACTGTCAGTCATTTCAATGCATTTAAATCGTTTGACAAATATTTGACAATAAAATTCATATAATAGGACAAGAGCTAATGTGATGCTGTCCCAGTTACTTTTGGTGACGATGGTACATGCAAATATGACGCAAATGACGTCAGTTGCGATTGAAAAAGTGCATGTCAAATAATCCGTGCACCAATTTTCAATCACGAATAACGTCATTTGCGTGTACGCAAAGTTGCACCAATTTCAAATAAAGCCCCCCAGGTGTCCCACTAAGGTCGGCCAGGTATGATATTATGGAAATCATAGACCTTACGGCTTCGGGATTTTTTTTTCTCGTTAAATCGGCCAAGAGAAATTGATGGAAATTATTTTGAAGTTTCTAGGATGACCGCCAGGGGGCGCAATTACGATGATATAGAAGAGGCCAACAACAAGCCGTTAAAAATTGAGAAAAAGGGTTAATTTCCTGAGACGAGAACTCACTTATTTTGTAATATTTTTTGACCGGATTAGAAAATAATAAAAGATAAAAATCTAAAGAATAATGCTGTTGTTTTAGTTTTTCGAAAAAAAAATTGCAAATTGAAAATATCACGACCTAAATACTCGAAAAAAAGCATCATTTCTATCGCTCGGTACATCCAAACCCATCGCTTTTTTAAAAAAAATGAAACAAGAGCATTGTTCTAAATTTTATTATCTTTTCGAATCTTCTTGATTC